GCAAATTAATTATCTGAATCATCTCCGCGTATGGACGTTGCATAATTATTCAGTCATGTTGGCGGATCGCACTAAACCGCGCATTTACAGTTGCGCGTCGCACTATTATTTCATTATCGTCCATGCAGACACGATGCAACTTACATATTATTATGGTCGGCAGCGATTTGATTCGTCCGATTTCGCTTGAATACACCGAACGCGACAGTCGTGTCCACTACGTAAGTTTTCCCCGCGATACGCACCGCTTGCAGTTGCTGTACTCACTAGCGCTGCGCACAGTTGCAGTCGAAACGTTTTCATAGGCATAGGTTTTATTTACTTAGTACTTATTTATTCGTCAGAATGCAGCGGTAAAGTTACAGTTAACTAAAGCGTACAGCCGCACGTGGAAATGGTGAAACTGCGCCGAGTGGACGCGCATGTAAAAAAGCCACGAGACGCACTGCTTTTTTAAACTTCATGCGCATTCGCAAACGTTATCGGCTGGTCATGCGGGACACCCGGTTTATCCTAAAATGCGCGTAAACAATAAATTAGACTGCACAACGGAAAAACTAAAATCGCGAGTGTAACTCTGTTTTTGATGCAGCTGTAAACTTAAACTAGAATTACTTAAACGCCGGCAGGCATTGTTGAATGAATCGAATTTGAGTATTATATGGTAACAAAAATACATCTCGATGCGAACCGGACGACGTAAGCAGAGTCATTTTGTAAAATGATATCTACCCAGTGTTGAAAAAAAAGCACTCATAACGGAGACATCTCTTAAAAACACATAAATGGTAATTTAGTCATGTGGCATCAGCAGCAACAACGAGGAAGCGACGCACGAGTGCAAGAACTTTGCTGCTACTTTTGCTGCTGCCATAGCAAAAAACGAGGTAACCATATCCGCAATAACCCTTAATAATAGTAATAACAATGTCGCTAATAATATAAGAAACCAATAACACGTCAAATGGCAATACTGGAAATATTTTTGTTTATCGAAATGAAATGTGAATTATTACGTAACCAAACTTTAACTCAGCTGAATGCAAATAACTTGACAACAGTTATGTAGATACCTAATATGCGACTTATATTACTTAGTGGCAGAATTGTGACATTTCAGCTGCACATATTATTGTAATCCTGATCGTGCGATATGCATTTATATGGTGTTCATTATAGATGAAAAGCAGCGACTCTATTTAAATTAAATAAACATCAATTACGAAAACAATAATTGAAGAAGACGCGAAACCTACGTTCGCGCGGACTTTGTTGCATGATGTCGCTTGCCTCGATTTGTTTATGGCGTTTATTAACATCGTATTTGTGCAGTGCAAACATATGCCATTGCCATCGCTATTTTCAGCTGCCACCGTCGAGGTCCGGAGATGCAAACTACATATAATTATTACAATTATTGCCCACCAGTAGTTTTTCTCGCCTGATAATAATTTACACGCAGACGCGGCCCGCGCGCACGGATCGCGACTAATTATCGCGGCGATGTTAATTAGATGCACGTCATCGTCACACGGGTGAAAATCGAAGTTTAGTACGTTTTACCGTTCGCGCGCGGATGCATCGTCGCTATGAAGTAATGATTTCAAGCACAATTATGGACAGATGTTCTCTAATTGCGTGTCGATTTGAGCGCGTCATTAGAAGTTAATAAGCGGTAAAAAAACACACGACTGAATTACAACGATTGAAAGCTAGACACTAGACTTATCTACCGGTCGCGCGCGCATTGTCAGCACACCGAACAAGGAATTCCTGCCATTTGCGTTCGACATTTCCAGGGATGTGGCGTGATTTTTTTCCAGCCAGGCTCGAGGCGCTCGTCCGCGCCGCCGGTTGTTGTTTTTTTTTTGTCGCGATGCTCCCGCGATACCTTGAATCTGGTCGCGCATCGCGACATGTACGCGCGATTCGTTCGTTTGTTTCGTCATTGGTCATTGATGCTGATTCGTAGTTGGCGTTATTTGTAGCGACCGTGTGCACGCCGCGCAGCGGTACAAATAAGCAGCGCGATACATCGGTGCACGAAGAAGAGGGCAAGCGTGCGCGCGACAGCGACTTAAGTTACGACATTTCAACCGGACGAAAGCAAATGGTATTGAATGCGACCGCGCAGTTAAATCAATAATAAGACGTATACGGATCCTCAATGGTGGGGACCGTGAAGACGACGAAACGAAAAAAAAGCTCTGCTGTAGTCTACAGTAGTTATACGTTATTTATTGCGCAGGACAATGGCTAATTAGTTGAGATTTTCGTTTGCTTGTACTTCTCAGTTACGAGCTGATGGTTACCGGCCATTACCAACTTCTGCCTCACCGCAGCTTCTGGCAACTGTTGGAAATTGTGCTGTGCAGTTGTGTGCATAATTTCTTCGCACGCGCAAATTATTATTCAATATTTTTCCGCACGTCGCGCAATGCCGCCGCGTTAATAATAGACATGATGGGCGGCTGGATAAATTTTATATTATTAGTAAGTGATACACGTTAAAGGTGAAAAGCAAAGTGCGAAAAATACGCCGCAAATGGCCGGTTACGTCCGGGCGCGCTTTTGAACTGCCACCGATACGTGCGTTACCCACGATTGGTGATTAATTATAGAGATTGCGATCGGCACTGAGCGGCGAAACGACCACGACAAACAGTAACATTATAACATTACACCAACGATTACACGGAGAACGACTTGGAGCGACGCGGCAAACACCAACCAGATCCGACCTGCAACTCGCGCGCTGCATTGCACGGGGCTCGTTAGACTTGCACCGAAAAAGAACTCGCCGCAAAGTGTGAATTTATTGTGCGAGTGCGCGTCTGCCTTTAGAGCGCCGCAAGAACCATAGTGGTTGTGTAGATGAAAAAATATTAAATTGCAATGAAATTGTCTATTGAAGGTTGCACATCAATTACCTGATGCCTACGCAATTATTGCATATCTTTAATATATTTTGTACGCAATTAAATCTATCAAGATATACAATACCTATACCCTGCTTAATTAGATCGACTTACAAAAGTAATCAGTATTAATTTTATATTTAAAATATAACTGGTATAAGCAAGAGTTGTATGTGTTATTATTACTTGTTATAGGGGCATGAGTGTATGGGTACGCGCATGTGAAAATTGCGATTCGCTACGATCCATTAAGAAAATTATGATGGAAAATGTGTGCACGTTCATACCTCTCTGCGCTGCCCTGCACGGCGAAAGATGTTAACATGTACGAGTAGTTTAACTTCTACGTGTTCGTTCGCATTAGCGATTCGTTATTTTCTAAATGTACGGCTAGGCACGTAACAGTTAGGTGACGATAACGCCGCGTTTTTCAACGTGGAAACTTGACTGGAGAACTTTGCGTTCAGCTGTAGTTTGTCATGTAGTTTGTCCTTCATCATGTGCATTATGTTCATCACACGAACTAGTTCAATTCTTAAAGAGTGCTTAACCTTGTAGTACCTAGCAATCACTTAATATTGTTTTATATTTGTAAATTTAAAATACAAATCGCGATGCATCGCGCGGTGGTATTGCTGTTTGTTTACTGTTGTCTTGCAAAAAATGTTAATGATATTGATTAATTTACATAAAGTGTTAAATGTGATACTTACGTGACTTTCACTGATAGGACTACAAAATATAAAGATTTATTAGTGATCCTGGTACAATTGGGTAGTATGCGATCGCCATTAGATAAGAAGCCAATAAGAATTCAATTTGTGAAATATATTGCTTTTATTTTTTATATGTTTTGACATATAATACATATTGTATATAAAAATAATTGAAATTGTTTCAAATGAGGTTTTTACAAATTTCCTATGTGAATTTAAATCTGAAATGTCTCACGCTTCAGATAGTTTCGAAGATTTGCAGATTTTGCCGTTTGCAGCGCATCATTGCATTGTATTGTGTGGTAGATAATGCACGAACGAGTATTCACCATAGCAGCGAAGTGCAAGTGCAATGCCGTAGTGTTTGGTAGTCGCACAGCGATTGTGTGTTGTATTAAAGGCGAGCATTATTATTATCGTCAGGGCAATCATCATCAACGCCCGGCTGATTTTGGTCGGTGCCCTTGCGCCTTCGCCAGTGCAATACGCCGCGAATGCATTGACGGCAAGCGGGGCGGGAGGGGGGTGTTGGAATGAGAATTTCATTCGCCGTGTTCGCAACTTCAATGTGCGCGCTCGTCTTTCTTTCGCTACTTGCAAGAATGAGGCCTGTCGTAATAACAGCGCACAGCCTAAATTCGCGCGCCGGTTCCCATGACGATCGGGGGAGACACCGCTGTGCGGCTAACAAAAGCTACCAAAGATTCGCGCGCGATGAGCACGTGTGCGTCGTTTACATGCACACATGCGCGCCCCGCCAGCGGTTTATTATTTCGCAATAATAAACAGTGAATCGGCGCTTTTCCGTTTTCAATAGCCGCCAAGACGCACCTCAGATATCGGCGCACCAACGTCAATAAGGGCCATCGATATACAAACTCATCGAGTCTCATCGCCTTATTTATTATTATTATTATTATTATCGTTGTTATAATCGTCATTGCGGAGATGCACCGTCGTGGCAATTCGCCTTTCGCGAGCGTCTGGGGCGCATACATGCAATGCATAAAATTGCTTAATGCAGAGCAATTTTGTCATGCATCTGAATTAGAATTTCGCTTGTCCAACGGATCGTTTGTTTATAAGTACAATTTATATACATTTTAACGGATTGACAAAGTTTGATTTTGAAAATCACCTGGTCTTGATGGTTCTTCAACATTTGGTTTTGATAAATTTAGATAATTTTATTAACACTCGGTGAAAACATTTGTGACAAGAATTGCCAGCCAAGCCACTATCTTATTACTGCAGGGCGTTTTGTTGTTATTTTGGTGTTTGGCAATACAGAATCAGCATAGTGTAGTGTGTAATTTACTAACCAACAAATAATGTGTGTAATTCAATGTTTGTGTTTTTTTTACAGGTCCTGTCAACGGACGCACATGGATGAACGGCCACGCGAATAAGGCGGAAGACAAACAATCAACCTTATCAAGGTGAGAACGCGTATAATAATTAGCGAGATCTTCCGCCAAGTTACCCCACGTCCTTTTTTCGGATTCACCGTGATTCTGTCCGACGCGATTAAACACAAGCCAAAGCAATTTAAACAGCTAAACGGCAAAATCGTAAAAAACACAAGCACTGATCAGTTCACGTCTACCCATACCGTCGCGGACTCGTTAAAGATTACACTAGGTCACGGCTGTGGGAAATCGCCGGCCCTTGCAGATCCTCTCTCGATCATTTGTCTACGATTTAATAATTGCACGAATGTAACAACTCTCAGCGCGGCATGCCGCCGACGTTTACGAGCCCGACTGCACACCTAGGAAGCATGAAGAGACGAAGGCTTGTCCTGCAATCGCGCGAAATGCGCTCGGAAGAAGAATACTAGACGAAATCGCTGCCAGATTACAATCGTAAGACGTTATTGTTGTCTTATTCTTTGGACGCGTAGATACAATTACTGCAGCAATGCTCGCGTACGACGTGAAAAGATCACACGAAAAAATGCTTAATTAGCAATTACGAGAATTACGAGAAGGAGTAATGAATGTAATTTTTAATGTCCTGCGGAGTTACACTGTAATTAACCTTTTTCTACCCTTTGTTATCTGCACGTATTTATTTGTTGTGCCGTGTGGGTAAATCTGCACCGATTCGCTTGCGCAAAAAAGCATCATATGACGCGAAATAACACTATGAAAAAAGTGGACTTTTTTGCTCTTGTGTAATGCCTACGCAGATTGCGCGAATTTGAATATCCTCTTTTATATTGTGCATCTTCGATATGCGCCAAAGAAAACTATCCAATTGAAGTACTGGGCGCATTACACCTCGCTCGCTAACCAGAAATAATAAACAGCAATCAACTATATAATTTGTGGTAATTTTACCCCGACGTTCGATTCCAGGCGCGCATTGCCAGCTCCTATTATACAACGGTTGCTAAAACTTTTTCAAACTTTCCGTAGTTAACACAACACGGTTTTCCGCAATTACATTTCCTTTATGCGTCCTTAAATATATGCGATTAGAATTTTTTCAAGCGATTAGTGAATAAGAGAAGATGCTGTCGATTTTCAAGGGAAGTCGTTCATGGGTGGATGGGACAAGCGCGTGTGTGCCATCATTGTATAAGCATATTAAAACTATTCACTTTCCATTAGCGGTACATGGGTACAAGATCGACGATGAACGCGCGCGTTTCAAATAAGAGAATTCTCCCAGAATGAAGGAACGCGCGCGATAAGGAAAGAGCACGGCCCGATGCCCGAACACAGCACCAGCGTAATTTTCCTTGGCGTAGCTGATTATTTTGTGTTTTGTTCGATTTTGCCTCGCACGTGAGGGTATCTCGCACATCAAATTATACTTCCTGAATAATCAAGTCCCACTCACAACTTGGAGTGGATAGTACATTCAAGTATAGGTACGCATGCGCCGCTGCTCGCTCTGTTCGTATGAATTCGATTTTCATCAATATTTGAAAATGTTGTAAAGTTTACATTAATTTTATTTTTGTAATTTCAATTGCCAGCCAATCATTTGTTTCATAAAATATTTCAGGGTCTCAACGAACGATTAGATGAAATCATACTCCTTATGCGTCTTCATTCTCGAATGTGCTATTGTTGACCCATTCGGCACACCTCTCCTCGGTTTTGATACTATTGCTGTATTGCCCCATTTCCTCCTCTATGTCAGAAAGTTGATTCTCGCTGATTTCAGCCGCTGTGTCACTTGCCAACGATTTTGCTTGATTCACCCGGCGTCGTCGGAAATGGTTAATCTGACCCTCTATGTCTTCGCAATCGAGCTCACCGCGGTTAATATCCTCCTTCAACTTTCGGTAGTATTTAACCACATCAGGTGAGGTGGTGTTCAGCTTCTGTAGGGTGCGCATGAGCTGAAGCTCGCGGCGTTTGCGGTCAAGTCGGAAATATAGAACATCCAATTGTACGTCGAGCTCCTTCTTATGTATGTCATCACTGCGACGCGTACAGTTGATGAGCTCACGGTGTAGAGTACTACCCAGGCGATTCTGAAAGTTCTTTCGAAAAGTGTGCACATTCCCGGACAAGGCGAGCAAAAACATGACCAAGCCAATGGCGGTCACCACCACGGCCATGCACACAGTCACAAACATGTCTACCCCCGCCTTATCTTAGAGAAATTTCGTGTTAGAACAGGCGATTTTATTAGAAATTTTGAAAAGGGATGGAAAAAATGGGTTGGTGCACCCACCTTTTGGAGTGTTTTGACAAATTGTTTGACGTGTGTCACCTAACCAATTTGTCAATTTGACAAATGCTGGTCATGTAAAGCCAACTGAGAAGGTATTTTCTACACCTGACAGTAAAAACTTACCTTAGACACACTTACGTAAGTCTTTACGTTGAAGTAGGGAATCGTAAATCATTCAGAATTATTAAGAATAACTTGTCCTGTTAACGCTGTAATATTTACATTTGCATTTGAATTGCATTGTTCAGTCGCATTCGCCGGCACCCGCAACACTATGCATCGAGCACTGCGCTTCTCATTGCTGGAAGTTCATCGCCACGTTTCAGTTGAAATATGACGAGAACGCGAGCGCAATTCGCCAAAGCGTTTTATTCGGACGCAATTTATTCGTCGATTGTTCGCGCACTTGAGATTTATACATCATAATTGTTGATAGCCAACACTTGATTTATAAACAAACGAATTTATCAGCGTCTGTGCGGACATCGGGGCATTATCCGAACCCCAACGATTTATCGATTTCATTAGAGAACTTTGAACCTCAATAGATGCATAAAGTTGCGAACAATTCGTACGCGTTTCGCCGCTTTTCTCAGCGCAGCGCATTACTCTTCCGCGGAGGCTCGTACTTTTTTCTGCAAGGTGATGAATGCGATTAAGGCGTTCTTTTGATGATAGAATCCTGTGTGTGGTTTCAGATATTGCACGACGGAGAGACAACGTAACCAGCAGAATAACTACCAGGCGGTGAAGCGAGCATGTCGCGAGCGCGGTGCGCTTTTCGACGATCCGGATTTCACGCCTGGGCCGCGCGCACTCTACCACCATAAGAAACCGCCCCTGAATCCTATCGTCTGGATGCGACCTCACGTAAGTGTATTAACGATTTCATTGCTTTGGCACAATTAGACAGGCACGAATTAAGCACAGACAGGCACATTATACCTGTGCGACTAGTCGAGGTGCAGATTTACGTAACAATTTAGAGTTTAATTAAAATGAACAAAACTGGTAATTAAGCCAATTAATTCGGCGTGCTCACGATTCCGCAAACAAACGAACGATGCTTCGCACTGGAGCGGCATCCGATAGAATGAAAGTAAGAAAACGAATTGAATTACAACGCTCTTCGCTGTTTGCGCATACGTAGCGCTGAATTCAACAACAAACGCAAATGGTTTTAATTTCGCAATTGCACAATCGCAATCTGTAAGAATGTTCGTTTTCGTTTTCAATGGTTTTTCTTCTTTCAAGTTATCGTTTTGTATCAATTTAGTTTGTTTTTTGTGCTTCATATCGTTCTCCACGCACGCCGCCTGACTGCCGCCTTTTTGTTATTTACTGTTACTTGCTCAGATATATTTATTCTAATTATTTGTTGCAATTCTGCCTCTTTTTTCGTTGCCTCTTCTTGGTTTGCATCGCGTTGTGCTCTCCGCAACTATGGTATAAATGCTGCTAGAATGTTTTTTGAAAAGTGCAAGTTTTTGTCAGCAAATTGTACACAAATCAACGAGCAACGATCTGTTCTTCTTAATGACAGTTAAGAAGACGGTTATTACTGTCCGCTGCATTCGCATTGTATGCTTTCGTTGGCGCATTGTGACGCTTACTCGAAAAACTGTAGTGTAGTCGAGTTCGTATAAACTTTATTCATTCATACGTGAGGTGCTGGCGTGTTTTTCTGACATTCATTTACTCGGCTCATTCTAGTGATTGTTTTCCGGGATAGATGTACCAAATTATTTGCGTTTAATGCCAGTATTCGTCCGTTTTACTTTTCGAACTAACCAATATATCTGTGTGATGCCCTACAATCATGATTGCAGCTAACAAGAAAATTATGTTCCTAGGTTGTATCAACCAAAGTCAACAAAATTATTACAATAGTTACTTTTTATCATGCAACAAAAAAGTGCCAATAGTAAAAAAAAGGTGACAGTCTTTAAATATCTTATTTCATGCATGCGTTGTGTTCATTATTTATTGAAACATATTATTTACGTTGTAATTTGTTATGCCCTCACCATACAAGAAGATTTTCTTGGTAAGTAAAGTCGGATGGTGCTGAATTGAGAATGCAGAAAATGTACATAATTTTCTTCGTTTTCTTTCTTGCTGCTTTGGTCTTTTCATAATACTGGTTGATTTGGGAGCACAGGGTCCAGTAAAATTCGGAGAGTTCGGAAAGTAAACAACAGTATCGGTGACCGAAAATGAATTAAGCTGAGAATTAAGTCAGACATGTGATATCCGGAAATGAAGATAGCATTTCAACATTTTGCCCTTTTGTTACTATGTTACAGAAATGAAAAGTGTGGAATTGCACCTGTGACTGGCACTACTGTGATCATGCACTTACTTGACAGATTTCCGTCTTTCACAATTTCGATGCTGCTTAGCCTGCAGCCCAACATTTCGATAGAATTTCGTATGAATGAATGAAGCCATAATTTGAATGAAACCGTACTAGTTATTGAATTACTCTCGAGCAGCGAGAACACAAAGAGAAAGGAAAGTATACACCGTGAGCGCGAGTTCGGCCGCCTGAGAAATGAAGAAATAGAATGCACAAACACATAGTTTACGTTTCGAATATCATATGATAAATTGTTATTAGATGCGGTCGTGCGCTTATTATATCGTCATTTGTGATAGGCCGTGTGTTATTTTGAGCTCGCCGATGCCGGTGCCGCGCCGTGCATATTTTCCCGTGACCCAGTTCAAAAGTATCATAAAACCGTTTGTTCGCTTCGTTTCTACCTTCGTACTTTAATGTCTTCGGCTCTTTACCTCGCCGCGAGTCGCTCCGTGCGTTCGTCATGCTCGTTCCGAAATGCCGAATGCCATGTGCTTCCGTATTAGCGCTAGTATCTACAACAACAATGTTGCTTAGTTCTCTTTTTCGGTCTGGAAACTTTCTTACTTAATTTGTGTTCGTGCATGTGTGTGCAAAAACGTTGAATTTAACTTTGACCCGACACACTCGTCGCGGCCGATCCACGATCTGTCTCACTCCAGTACTCCTGAGCCGGCAACTCTTTGCTTAACGTGTCTAACATGTGTCTAACGTTTCTGTTCTTTGTGCATATGCAGACAACTGAAGAGGCAATTGATCTTTAGACAATCGTGATGCTGCGTCTTAACTAGCGATCCAAGCATTATTGTTTTCGTACTAGGTACGAGGGTAGCGGAATTAATAGCAATTGAATTGTGCTAATGCACCACCACAACCCTTTAATGTGTTGCTTGTTTATCCGTAGGAAATGTGCCAAAGACCGAAATTCATCAGCGAAAACCCAAACGATTTACTGCGGTTTGCGGTGGAGAGTGGTGAGCTGGGCGACCAGTGGTTGCTGGCAGCGGTGGCGTCATTAGCTCTTACACCACGTTTTCTCGACAGGGTCGTGCCACCCGACCAGGGATTTGACAACACCAGCGGATACTGCGGGGTGTTTAGGTACGTACCTGCCGAATATTTCCTTTTCCCGAACGTAATTTTGGACCTGCTAAAGAACATCAGTAAGGAAAGTGTCATTTATGAATTTAACATTTTGAGAATATCTCCGGAGATGATTCCTGAGTCGATAAATAGTTTCCATCTATTCTCATTCCCCAGGGAACGAGGTGGCGCGCAGATTGTGCAATGTATCGGCATTCTATCGTCCCATTGTGAATCTAATAAATACAACGATTCTGCGCTGATATTTCACCGACTTATGGCCGGACCTATGAATAAGTCAATTATTGCAATACCGTGCGATGCGGCGGCCGCAATATTCCGGCTATTACGGCGTGCGCAATGAAGGTACCGAGTTAACAATAGCGAGCGCTTGATATACCCGGTAATACGCACGAAGCCGAGCCACAAGTATCACTGTCTGTTGTACGGTGTGCTATTGCATCATTACTGTGTGATGCATACGAACAATTCACTGGCACGACATGTGCTAACCCCCTGTGTAAAAATCACTGATGCACAATGCGTTAGCTGAAAAGTATCGGTATACGGGGACAGATAAGTGCCCGCCGCGCCGGACGGCACTGGAAAAAATGATGAGATATTTACCATTGTGCCCTGCCCGGTTGTCGATGGCTGACGCGCTTCGCGGTTTCCGCGCTGTTGTAAAACAGCCGCAGAACTGTGTTGCCACGTCAGTAGTCAGTCTGTAGATCAGAAAATCTTCCCCGCTATGCGTACAAGATGTTCGGAGTCGCGGTGAGCGCGTTTGCGGCGTAAATAATAGCCGTTGGATAAACGCGCGGACGCCGAAGGAATAAGCGCACGTTGTCACAATAACTTCCACTTCTCGCGCGACATTGGAAATTCTGATCTGCTCGATGCTTTATTGCAAATCGCGCCCATTGCTCAGTTTTTCTATTAACAAAGAAAGATTAATAAATAATATCAAGCGCGGCGCGATGCGCAAAAAGTGCGTACGAAACGATATTGAGTCAGTTTCGTAGTCAAAGCGAGCGTAGCGGAATTCAACAACGAAAGAAATACAACGGGTATAGTACTTGTTGTATTTGTATGTAATATTAATATCGTCATATAAGGGCAGCATTAAGATTTTCAATATAGATCTCAGTGTGGCATGTCCATGTTTTTTGTTCTTTTTCTATATTGCAATAACACACAGTAACATTACACAAAACTTATATTTAATGTATGTTGGATATTTACATTCCCTAGTCCATTTTCCGATATTTACATGATGCCCTCTGCTTCACCTAGCGTATATAATGCTAATTTACATTCGCCAGTGCGGCATTTACCACGTGCGAGATAATGGTCGCTACTAATGCAAATAACCACGAATCTGGAGAGCGTCGTGGGAGATTCGAAATTATTTCGTGCATAAATCCGTTTTGAGCCGGCTCTTCACAGTTTGGTTTGCCATTTCGGTCTTTATAGATACATGTTATTATTGTTATTATAGCCCAATTGTCATTTTGCTCGTATGTCGCCCCGTGCTTTTTTGCTGTCGTTGTGAGTTTGCAAGATGTTTATATGACTATTCCTTATTTCATTACAATATAACGAGATCTCGCGAATAATTTTGTCATTAAATCGAATTCTAAGTGCGAATAAACGTGGTGGCGAGGAATAAAAACACTCGCAAAATAAATTCAAATGTGCAATTGTGCGAAGAGCGTGTTAAAAGCCAATACACGTTTTGCGTTTCTTTTTTGCTGTTATAAGCAGCGTTGTCTTAAAGTTTTGCGCGAGTGAGCGTTATTGTGGAAGCAATAAAAGCGCATTTTAATTGGGAAAAATCCCGCGTTGGCGGCACATCGTTTCCACGTTTCACACTTCGTATATTACGCCGACCCGGCCGTTCGTTTGCGAGCGCATCGTTTCGTCTCGGCATCTCGCCACTCTGTTACCTTGTCCGTTATTTTTTTCTTTAGTCAGTGCAGCAGTGCGAATGGATTACGTTATAGGTATCGGCGGTATTGGCGTAATTTGCGTGGGCTAACCCCCCAGACGTCCATTTTTCTAACGAGAGGATGCAGCGCGGAGGCTTAGTTGAGTTGTTGCTTCGTTTATTTCGCATCGAAATCAAATGGTTATAATTGCGGCAAGACGTCAGCCCTATACGATCGCGATAATTGTTTATCAAACATGCGCGCGAATCCTAAGCACTTTCATTTCTGACGCGTCTTAACAAATCGGCAAATTTTCTTGAAAAAAATGACCGAAAATGTCTTGCCGAGATACCTTGCTTCGCATAAATTTATTTAATTTCTACTCGCCTACATTTATTTAAATTGATTTCAATAATCGGCGACTTCGAGAGTAATTTTAATCGATATTCATACATTTTTGATCCTCATAGCATAGATTTTCAGCGATTATTAAATCCGACGGGAACATGATTGTTATTTGTTGCTTAATTAAATGGTTTTCATCTGAATGCGGACGAGCCGAGATGCTTAAACGGCGGTGAATCCATGATTACCTATCGTTCCGCGAATTTCTACAAACCGCGCACGCCCAATGTCTAGGCGAGTGCGCTAGGCACACGCACATAAATATGTAGAACACGAGGCATACCGAAACGACCCGTGCTCTCGTCCTGATGTAATCTATTTATTTATTAATCCTTTGTCTTATCCTGTACGACTTTGTCGTAGCGCGTGATGGCGCGCCACAACGTCGGATGCAGCTCTTTGTCGAATGATCTTGTTCTATCTAACGCGCTTTAACCATTCAACACGATTTTTTACATCCTTTGGTTGCATCCCTATGTATCCCTACTTAACTCTAGAATGTTGATTATTTAATGCTTAGAAGATGTAGTCGCCTTGTAGCCGAACAAAAGGAACTCTGATATACACTGTCAAATCATAAACAGTTGTTCGAGAGATAATCAGTAGCCATTCCATTATTAAACTAAAGAAGTGAACATACTTAATATCTTAAGGTCTCACTGAATTTTCTCTTGAAGTTCTCGTCAAAATTGTATTTAAATACATCTTCAATAATTATGACAAGAATTATCAAAATCTATGAAGAAGAATATTGGATTCTGTTCATTGAGAACGTATGAAGTTCCTAAAAAAACTCATAACCAAACGTTGGTCGTAGCTCTAAATTTCACGATATAGTGAGTTACAATCTTGCTTAGATGGTTGGACAATGCCTACTTTTTTTTTACATCGTTAATGTATTATATGGTTTGAATCAATTTCAATTGGTAACGTTAATTCTTTCTCGGTTGTTAGTTATTCGCTTCGACGATGTGCACAGAAAAACGGACGCCGCTGCGAGAAAATTTACGTTCGGTAGCAACAAGCTGCAACAAGAGTATGTGCATCGTGCGCCCTAGATTGCGAGCTGACTGCATCGCAGGTTAGAGAATGGGAGAATACTGCCAGCGACGAAATTCCTTAATTACGTTCTCGTGAATAATTAATAAAGTTGCGCGCATGGCAAACTTAGGTACCGTCGACGGGCGCGCGGAACGCATAATTCGTGTTCTTATCGCTCGGTGTAGATAATGCGAAGTTTATGTTTAGATGAGTACCTGACTACGGCTCACCTACAAGCGCGCTAGAAGACTAGCGTACAACGTGCATACCGGGGGTTTTACATTGAGAACTTAGCAAGAAAAAAGTTTCCGCGCAAAATGGTTCGCATAATGACTACGCGATTATTATTAAAAGTTAGCTCAATTACGATAGTTACGGGCCGGAATGCCTCGGCGCGTTAGAAAAATGTCGTTTTTCGGTTTGCCAATGACACTCTATATAGTAAAAGCGCCCCGTTGTCAGTAAAACGGAAAAAGGGAAAGTGATAGCTTATGCATGTACGAGAGACGAGGAATTTCCATTGTGATACCCGTGTATGCTATGCCGCGATAAGGGCCGTCGCCGGCCAACGTGCGCTCGTTTGTGGCTTAATGAATTTTCGTTTTATGAACATACGAATCGATGATTGGGAAGATCTTCGGCGTTGAATGGCAAAATAAATAAATCGCGAGAGTAATTTTTCACAGGTAGTATTATAAATACACCGCTGCAACGCCGGCGAATGGGCGAAATCAACTTGATGAGTAGATGCAAATTCGCTTGTCATCGGCGACGAATGAATTACCGTGAACTTGACGATAATGAAGAATGCGCTCGAGCACCGCGCGAGACGTTGCGGAATTTATTTGCACACGCGTGACGTCTCCCGAGCAATGCAAATAAACGAAGCGGCTTGAAGGTTTCGTTCGGGCCGAAAAGCTGCGATGCAAGAGAGGGACGTGTAAAATGATTAATTAACAATTAATCCGAACGCGAGTTAATTCATTATGTACGTGATTGCGAAATTTTGACGTGGGCTTTCGTAGTCGTGATGCTCGCCGCGTTTCGTGTATTCAGTGCGTTGAATTTGAACACGTAGCGCGAACACATTTGTACGAATGGGCGCGTTGTTGATTAACCTCTCCTGGCGTAGTTTTCGTCAAAGGAATACAAAAGCCAACTGCCGCGCAGGGGCACCCGACTTCAGACGGAAAATGCTGTTTTATAAATATATAAAGCATTCCAGGTACAATTATTACTGACATCTAGCTAGATGGATTGATGACTGCAACGATACAGAAAGTAGAACACGCGCTCAAGAAAAAAATATTCGAGTTTAGAGTACGAATGAAATCGATAATTTGTGCAACTGACCACTGTAAAGAGCAAATGAATGATGGCAGCAAGAGATTGAATCCACCGCGTATCTTGTTGCGTTCGATCGCTCAAAGTCAATTTGTTTTTCAGGTTTAGATTTTGGCATTTTGGTGAATGGCGAGATATTTTGGTGGATGACCGATTACCGACTTTCAAAGGACGTTTAGTCCACTTGCATTGCTCTAACACCACCGAATTCTGGGCGGCTTTATTGGAAAAAGCATACGCCAAGTGAGTATCATCATTTTAGGCCAAATTAAAGGACTGTTTCAAATTTGTTTTCATTTTGCAGATTTTACGGTTGTTATGAAAATTTGACGCATGGTTCGACTACGCGTGCTCTTCAAGATCTAACAGGTGGCATTGTCCAGAGCTTTGGACTTACGCACCAAGATAGATTCCTTACGTTCCAGGTGCTCAATAGCGCAGTGCCGCGTTCTAGTCTGCTAATCGCCACGATAGCCGCGGTAAGATGAATTTTATTTTTGGAAAAATGTTTTCGGCAAATTTTGAGCGCGATCTAGGTTTCGGTGGCAACGGCAAGTTGGGCGCATCGATGACGATAAAGAGCAATTACATTGCTACAAAACGCATCCGGAGAACCGAAGCGTCGTGATTAATTAATTATACAGTAATCGGATCTAAGGCCGCTATAAATCATTTTCTTCAGGCGGATTTTTATCCGCGCGCCGCTCGCTGCTCGTTGATATTCAAGTCAGGCAGCGTCTTTTGCTCGCTGTAATAAATCTAAAATTCCGACGCAATTCCTTCTGTGCGCGCGTACAAAGCCTGCATGCAATTCTTTCCTAACATACTACTCTACGAGTACAAACACGTGCATTCCATTCTTGTCTCACGGCGTCTCCAGGCGATTCTATTTGATAACGATTTTAATTATCGCTTGTGACGTCGACATACGCGTATCTCTTGATGAAGCGGGAAACGCGCATATTGTGTGGATATTTAACATTGAATAATTTCGTGTGTTGTGCAGGAGAAAGATAATAAGCGTCAACTGCGATTACGCAATGGTTTGATAACGCAACACGCATACAGCGTCACGGGGTTGGCACGAGTACGCGGCGCCGGAGGTGAGACGCCATTGGTTCGGTTACGAAATCCATGGGCACGGGGCGAATGGACTGGCCCCTGGAGCGAACGGTCCTGGGAATGGGATGGTCTTTCTACTAGGGACAAGGAACTTCTCAGCGTGCGCGTCACAAACGATGGCGAATTTTGGTAACTTTCTTTAGATGATTTGACGATTCCATGAGCAACTGAATAATTGGTAAATTTTAGGATGTCTTTCGACGATTTTGCACGACATTTTACCCAGTTGGACCTAGTCCATGTGGGGCCAGATGACTGGATGATGGAGGCGGCATTACATTCCAAGCAACCATGGAGAGCGGTGCTGGCGAGACGGCGATGGCGTGGCGGATATAATGCCGGCGGTGGGCCGAACTACGTCGAGACTACCGCGATGAATCCGCAATTTCACGTGCAGATACCGCGCACATCCAGCAACAAGTGCCACGTGGTTGTCTCCGTGACACAGCATTACGAGACAAATCCGGCGGACATTAAAAAAAAGAAACCACTTTTTGCGATTGGGTTTGCTGTATATGAAGTCCCGCATTCTATGCAGCGGTTAACACCGCACTTTGTGGCCGAGCAAAAGCCTTTAGACGTAACAAATCATTCCATTGCCAGGGAGGTTGTGACATTTTTTACTCTTCCTCCCGGAGATTATATTGTCGTGCCACAGACAAACATTCCCAATCTCGATGGCAAGTTTCTGCTACGGATATTTACCGACGAACAAAGCAATATTTGGGAGGTGAATGAAGACAACATGGTCATTAGAAATATTTACGCAGAGTTTCAGGAAGAAAGTCACTTGCTGGTGAGTTTCGAAACAGAAAGTACTAAAGTGCTCACATTAACTCATATTTTGTTTTAGGCCGAGAATAAGACAATCTTTCCGAAACTGCTTCTGAAATATCCACCGGAAGTTGATGCTAGTCAATTACAGAAAATACTCAAAGCACATTGGAAGAATTACTTATCCGAAAAGCCAACTCTGGAGTTGTGCAAGAGTTTGATAATGTTGAGGGATTACAACATCAGTGGAAGAATGAATCTTCTGGATATTCCAGTTTTGATGCAAATGTTACAGTTTTGGAGGGTACGTACTACACATACTTCAATATTCTGCAAAACTTTAATTCTGGTATTTATAGTTGGCCTTGCAAAAATTTGACCGTGGTCACAATACTGGAAAAACCTCCTCTTATAACCTGCGTGCTCTGCTGTGGGAGGCTGGTTGCACGGTTAGCAATAAAGTTTTGGAATGTCTCGTCTTACGATTCGCCAAAAACCGCGTATTGACAACCGAAAACTACATCATGGCAATGGTACGACTACATTTAGCACACGGTAAGAGTTTTTTTTTAATCCGTTTCTTAGTCAGACTTAATTCATGTGCCTTCTTTCAGAGCGATATCATAGCCTGGACACAAAGATGAAAAGTAATCCAATATCCTTAGAAGAAGTAAGTGTAATACAGTCAACATATACGTTAATGAAAATTGTAAATTGAAATTCCAGATAATCCTGATGACCATTTATTCGTAATCGAATCAAGGGAGAAACTAATATCAATTAAATATATACAGTATAAGAGAGCAACCAAAGAATTATTTAAAATGTTTGAAATTTATGTGAATGATTTTAAACGTACATTCCTTAGTGAGCAGCTTTATTATTATATTATCATATATTATATTATCTTGAAAATTTCTGCAAAATAGTCATAAATCTCAAAATTGTTTATTTTTTCAATTATAATTGCTTGCATATTACAACTGCTACTGCAAGCCATTTTAATTGTTTCGTTTGTCTTCACAGCAATTAACTTGCACATTAAAAACTAATATTTATGAGGCATCTTTTAATACCAAAGATATTCGCAAGAAGGGAGACAGTTCTCGGAACTGAACAAATTCTCGCAAAATGCTATAAAACTAACGTGAGTATGACGTAAGTAGCGCCTGCCAAGAGTAAATCGGATAACGTTGCCATTTAATTGCTTTTTTCAAGCATTGCGCCCACTACATCAAATTTTGAAGCTTTAGAAATTTATGACCACGTAGCGTGTGGAGCTTTTTCTGTCGATACGGTTAATCAACTTGTATACGAGACGAAAATAATCAAATGTTAATTGCCTGGTAAGTGTTTTTTAAATTTCGACTCTTTGATGCGCTAGTTTTGCGTTTCACTTCAACACTACAGAGACGCCGAGGTTGTTGTCGTCGTCTATCTAATTGATTTGAGTTAAGAAACTTCGAAGCATATAAAGCAGGTATATATTTATATAAAAAATTATGACAATTTGCGTCACACGCATTTCGGACATTTCGTTTTGTCATGATTCATATTAACGTCGTGGCATTGTTTGCGTTTTTTGTTATAAACTAATTGCGGGAACCGTTGCACAACCAAAGTCCAATAATACACGTTTTCTCTAAACCACACTGTGGCACCTAGAGATTTGAATTGAGACTGTTACTGTTACTTGGGTAAACTTCATGATAACTTATACTTTATTTAAATGAAAGTTAATAGATTTTATGCAATTATTTGAAATTAAAACGTGCATGCAGCTTCACTGCAATGTGACATCAGAAGACAAATAAAAAACCAATCAAATTTTGTTTAAATTTTATAAGTTACCTAGAGATTTCCATACAGCAAGTGTAATTTATTGATATACCTTCAGGATCAACCGTGCTAGCCATGAATACTCGATGTAGACGCTACGGAATACGTGACATTCCTAGTTTTGACATTCTTTGCACTTTTTATCTATTTGTAACTGCAAATATTCGAAGACCTGTTTTCCTTGACGTATGAAAAGTATTAAATATAGAATTGCAATATGCAGTAGTTTGTTTAGACAAAATACTTGCACTTTTTATAAGAATAACAAAATCAATTGTTTACTTGCAATGCGTTTAATATTATTCCGATGGTACTGAGGCGGTGAGCGTTTCTGAAAGTGTACGTGTTCTTGTTTAAATAATGTTATGAAAGCAAATAAGTATTTACTAATTATTGAATTTACATTTTAAAGTTATTGTTTATAGTAACATAACGCTTCAAACAAATCAATATTTTAAACTGAATTAAGCATTGTGAAATACATTATTTATTGTATTATGTATCAAGTTGTTTATATGTATGAATAGTGAATGGTAGGTGAACTCGATATTTTTTGTAAAATGTACGTTGATATATTTATAAATGCTCCTTTTTGGCAGAAATTAAAGTAGACTGAAATTACGGCGAATTTTATCTGTGACCGCTTAGTCCTTGCTTTAAAATATTCTGTTGACGTATTTTGTGATTGAAATGCTGCGAAAACATCATAAGTGGTTTTTTTACCGGAGGCAGATTGTAAATATAAAATTATTCACGATCTACCTCAATTTAAGCGGCGAGACATCTTCCAGTAATGTGTGTAACGCGAGTTATTTTATCTAATTTTTTGGGTTTCACTACACCAAAAAATTTACTTTGTTGGTAAAACAAATCGTTAGGAAAAACTACAACTGATAAGTTGTTTGTCCTTTGATTTCAAAACCATGTCATAAACAAGCGATAACAGTTTTCAACAATTCGAACATATTTTCTTGACTTCCACTTCCATCACTCCTTCCATCCACCACTCCGACGCTTTTCAGCATTTTAATTTAACACCAGGTGAGTTGGTCTGTGGTTCACATAGTCGCGCGTCGCGTAGAGTAGGTAATTCTGTAGTGGGATATATTAATTCTGTGGTGAATAAGGAAAACAACGCATCCAATTCGTTTGACTCAGTGCTTAATAATGGTTATTTGCGTGCGGATTTTCTTTATTGTCGTCAAATCCTTGTCGATTGACATTTGATAGTCAATTAACTGTTAACTGTGATTCACGCATGTGAAAGTTGCTGCGAAGTCCTCATCGAGTGCAAAAATGTGACGACGACTTCTCAAACGGTGTGCGCATTGAACAATGTTACATCAATTTAAATAATGAGTTGTTTGCACCTGACTTGAAGTAAGTCGACCTCAACGCGTCGCCAGTCGAGTCACAAATCATCTTGTTGACACAACAGCGCCAGGCTGAAAATTGGTGTTTGAATTCTAGTATCAACTTCGGCGCCGCTGTTGACAAAAATATGTTCGCATGAACGGAGTACATGGCAGTTGATAAAGTGTTCAGAAAAATGCGATCGCGCGTGGTCTTATGTACTTCTCTGACTGCTAGCGCATTTCTAAGAAATGTTTATAGCCTTCGCAGTGCCGCAAACATTTAGATAAGCGACTGCGCCGCACGATGATTATCGCGAAACTATGGTTGTTGGTGCTAATCGTGTTTGCGGCATCCCAGGACGACTACGATGGTCCACCAATCCTGCCTGATTCCATTGAGAAAACGCGCGATGCTCGAAGTGGATGTCTGTGTCGCGTCTACGAGGTGGAGCAATATGTCACCTGTTTCGATACAAAACGATGTGTGAATTATCCACGAGACCTCAACGTAACGATGCCGATGCTGCGTTTGTCCAGTACAAACATACAAATATTGCGAGAAAACGACCTCGCCCAACATCAGCGATTGCTTAGCTTCAATATGGAAATGAATGATAACTTCTTCCGCATTGAGCCAGGTGCTTTCAACAACATGTCCAACATAATAAACGTCACAATTTCGTATAACAAGAATCTGATGTACCTTGAAAAGTACGCGTTCCAGGGCTTAGTGAATTTAACAAGTTTGACTTTGGAGAAAAATGGATTTCATACTCTGAAAGATTTTACGTATTCTATTACGTACGGTGTGTTACCAGCCCTAAAGTTTTTAACTATTGCGTCCATGCCATTCGAAAACATAACCGGAGACGATTTTATTCTGGAGAACATGACCCTGACAAATTTCTACTTCACGACCTGCCAAATAAAATCGGTGAATGCCACGCCTCTAGCCCAACTTAAATATCTAGAAGTGTTTGATTTGTCAGAAAACATAATGGATCAAAACAATTTGGTGAATTTGTTAGAGGTGATGCTGAATGCGAGCATACCCCTCCGCGACCTACGCCTGGGTAATATGGGCTTTAATGAACTCCCGTATGGCGTGCTGAATGTGATTGCCAGTAGTAATGTTACGGACTTGTGTTTAACAAAAAACCGTTTTGAAGTGATTCAAAAGTTTCCAAATATGCCGAACCTTGAACGCTTGATTATCGAGCATTCCGTCGCCTTGAACGTGACGTCAAACGCGTTCGACAACCTGCCGAAATTAAAATACCTTCATTTGAGTGGAAATCGTTTCAGCGATATACCCAACGCAATCCTTTTGCCCAGTATTGAGTATCTTGATATCTCCCGTGCCGAAAAGTACTTCTCGTTGGAAGGCACCAGTTTCCTAAACATGACGAATCTTAAATACTTAAATTTATCGGGTAACAATATCCGAAAACTTAGTTCTTCCTCTTTCAAAGGTTTATCCAAGTTAGAAGTCCTAATATTACAAGATACATCAATATTTTTTGCAAATAGTTCGGCGTTTTATCCTTTACAAAATTTACGTCATTTAGATTTGCAAGGAAATCCCTTTCCGACACGTGACGTTCAACGTGGTCTGTTTAATGGTTTGGAGAATTTGGAGTATCTTAACCTAGCGGAATGCCAATTTGAGAACATATCTCGGTTTGCACATGTTTTTGTTAATTTGACAAAGCTCAAAACATTACAATTGGAGAAAAATCAAATTACCTGTTTGCAGCCAAACATTTTAAGTCCTCTTCAAAATTTGGAATCAGTAAATTTGTCTAGTAATGATTTAATGGCGTGGGATGAACGAGTATTCATAAACAATCCAAAACTGAAGTATTTAAATTTAAACAATAATAAGATTAAAGATTTGTCTCTTGCAATGCTGCAAGACTTCAACCAGTTGGAGCAGATCGACTTAAATAACAATCCGTTTATGTGCAAGTGTCCGGATATTAATATATTATATGATGTTTTCACGAAGAAATCATACCGAAATATTGTGGTTTTGCTAGAGCGAGAAAATGTAACATGTGGTTACCCTAAAATATGGAGCAATCGTAAAATTGTCGATTTCTTATTGCAAATCGGAGACGACGAAGGGTGTAGACAACATTTAGCATTTGTTGCGCCAGTGGCGGCTATCGCCGTAATTTTGGCAGTAGTGGGCATCTTTGCCTACATCTACCGATGGCACATCGAATACTGGATTTTCCTTACCAAGTTGTACTTATCACGTTCTGGACGCGTTGTCTACAACCGCAGCAGCAAGATACCAATACAGTACGAGTACGACGCGTTTGTCTCTTACAGCAACGAAGATCAAGCCTTCGTCATGAAGCTGGTCAATGCTTTGGAAAAAGACGAACCTTTCTACAAACTGTGTGTATATGAGCGGGACTTTCAGATTGGCACTGTCATTTCAGAAACGGTACTTGAGAGTGTTGCAAGAAGCCGGAAAACGCTCCTCATTGTCAGCGAAGCGTACATTAAATCTACATGGTGCCGGTGGGAGGTACAAGTGGCAGAGAACAAAAGACTGTTCTGGGAGAATGAAAACGGCGAGTGCGCGAACGATTCCCTAGTCATCATTAAGTTGGGCGAAATTTCGACCAAACATTTAAGTCCGATGTTAAAATATTTAATGAAGACGCGCGTTTATTTGGAGTGGGAAAGTGATCCCCGCAAACAACGAATGTTTTGGTGTAAATTGCGCAATAGTTTAGCCAATAGCAGTAGCTTTTACTGACAGACAGATTCAGACTGCATACAACCACAGTACAATGTTGTTCGTATAGTGAAACTTATGAAGCTTTAAATGTGTAATGATAACTTTTTTTTTAAATGTTTGGTGAATAAAATTTAACCATGTCTATAGTGTCATTACCACCACCGTGGGAAATTGTGTGGCTATTATCTGATTTTACTCAATTTACGCATTTATGTTGCAATAAATGTTTGTGTACATTTTGTTGCCGTTGACATAGATATTTAAATTTCTGTGTGTTAATTATGAGCAATACTTAATGTTTAATATGGTCATTCAAAGTAAATATAAAAATTGCAATGTAAATTAGATGTAGACAAATAAAAATTAATAGTAATTAAGTGTTTTTGGATGTGGTGAGCTTCTTATTGTGTTATTTCATTTCAGAATACTTGTTTCGTATTTTAAAGTTACACTAGTGCACCTTCAACTTCAGATTGTTGAACGCTCTGATATTCTGGTACTCGAGTGTTAAAATCATGATGAATAAATTGTATCAATGGCTATGTAGTAGTAACTGTAGTAATCTAACTAGAGAATAGAATGTTGTCTTTTGGTGAAGATAGCTAACAAACCAAACACTACTAAAAATGTGCAAAAGATTACTAACAAAAACATACCTAATATTATTCACAGTTTACAGTCTTGCTACACCCAATGCTTTCATGTAGGCTCTGCTTCTCCCCGTTTCTTTGAATTACCTGTGTTTTTTGCCAATGGAATATATGGCCAATTCATGCTCATCTTTTTACACGATAACGTTCAAAGTGAAATAACCATAAAGATATTTAATTTCAGATACGGTTTCCCAGAAACCATCGTTTATTCATGATGACTGGGGTGTGTACGTGCACCATATCAACCATAGTAGTACTTAAAAAAAAATTCTGCTTCGATCTTTAAAGCGTTAGTTTTTTCATGGTTTTGAGACAAAAAAATGTAGTACTTTAAACACGGACTGCCAAGGTTACTCCACACTGCTAATTTCCCAGTAGTGTGCGAGTGAATTTCTATTAGTTGAATTAAGATTAGCACCCGGGAAACTTGCAAAAAGATAATTTTTGTGTTTTGATGTACTGATTTTTGGTAGTTTTAGGTGTCTAGCGGGCGAACGAAATGTCCTAAATGTCCTTTTCGTAAATAATTTTAGTTAATGGAAAGTGAATTAAATTTTAAATATTAGCAAACGTAATGCAGATTTTTGGGTAATTTCGAAGTTTCAAAACTTGATGACGCCGACTATCTTTAATGTTTTGTTCCGCTACGGTCAGATGACGCTTCCATTGATTTGGTTTAAATTCATACTTAATTTGTGTGGTAGGTTCACGAAGTATAGATATAAGGAGTCCGAACGGTATAGGCTTTTTCGTCGTAGTCATGGTTCACAATTATATACAAAGCTAATAGTTCTCTTTTCTGCCACTGGCTGCGCTTGAATCACTAGTGAATCAATGTACGTTGGTTCGTGTTCATAGCAACATTGAGACAATTTGTTTACATGACGTTCCGGTGTTTAGATACTTCGTGATTATTATTACACGTGCTGGTTTGTGAATGTTTAATTGAAGTCAATTAAATTTAAAAATACATATTTCTTAACTTTGTCGAATGCGTTATCCATATTGTTAACTTTTATATGTATGTATACATTAATTTGAATTGGAACGTGATAGTATTATTTTTTTGAACTAATTTATTTATTGAAAATTAGTAGTGTTAAAAAAATGGGAAGGTGTTGTGCTATTCCAGGATGTTTTAGTGGCCGAAAGACTAGTGAGAAGGTAGAAAAAGTAGTTTTATTCAAAGCATCAAAGGTGAGTAATATCTTTGAAAAATATGTGTTATAAACAATTAATTTATAACTAATAGCCCAAAGATTTAAAAATATGTCATAATTTCATGTATCTTGTGAAATATTGGCGGTGTCCATAGTAATGTAAGTATTTAAACTCGTACACTAACGCATAGTGGCGCGCTCTATTGGCGAATGTTTGGTCCCCTAGATCGTGACCATTAATTTAACATGACGTTCGGACTCCTTATATCTATACTTCGTGGGTAGGTTTTAGAGCGCTGAGTTGCGGTGCGTACGTCACTTTTATAAACAACTTTTATGTTTAACAATAACTTGCAACATATTTGTAATCGCATTTCTGTCGTACGCATATAGAATAATGCCCCTCCAACTGCGGGTCGATTATCAATCTGTCTTGCTTAGTTCGGCTTAGTCGGTTGAGCGCTGTTGCAAGTGCGCACGTGTTTCGTTCATTAATCACACGTGGTGATACTTTCTCGCGATTCTTGATATTTTGTAGCAGTACTTAAATCGATTGACGATCAGGGGCATTTAGTTGTATCAGCCCACTGCAGCGCACAACGAATTATTTGAGTGATTCTTTGCGGAGCGCGCGAGGCGTTCGTCGTATATGTTCCGGTGACTATGGACCAGTAAGTACTGGAGTTAAATGAAGTTAAATTTATGTGTTTGTCGTGAATACAAACAGGTGAGTACATTTGAAATATCTGCGTGGAATAGTAAAGAAGTGCGTAAATGTGTTTGTGTGCTTTAGTCCTTTATTTTTAGAAAAACCAAGGAGTAAGTAGCTTCAAATAAAATTTTACTTTTATTTAACGTTTTAAATCATGCACAATGTTATTGCTTTATAATAATTGAAAATGATTCAGTCAATAAAGACTAATTTAATTTTACATTATTGCTTAAATGTGTCCCTTGTGTTCTTAGTCGTTTTCAGGATTAGTATTAAGTCATGTTGAACTCTACCATAGAGTACACCATAGTATAGCATTGTATAGTACAGTGCATATATTTATGCTGTATTTTTATTGTACTGTAAGATATGAAAGCATAAATAGAAGAAACGAATAAAACTTGATAAGTAAGCCGTGTGGCTCTCAGGTGTGCAGCTTATGCTGCCATACCGTACGTCGATGGTTCGATCCCTAGTTGTAGAAGGCATTTTTCTCAAACATAAAAATAAATGGTGCAATCTGGGTTGCATATGTCAGTTCAGTAAGATGCAATGCAAAATAAGTAAGATACGAGAAGATGCAATACAATATAGAAACAAGCAGAACAGGTGAGAAGAGATAAGGAGAGAGGAAAGAAGCCACCCCGAAAGAACACAGGATTGGCTCGAATTTTTAAATTTTTTGGCGACGTGTCGTTATAAGACAGTCACAGGTCGCCGGAGGCGCTCTGGTCGATCGCCCACCGCTTCGGTTCGTCCATTGCTCCCGGCCCATCCTACAGCTACGATGTCTCTGCGCTTCATCCCCGAAATACTCAGGCATATCAACAATATTTATGGTGGGGGATCATCCCCCGAGTGGGAGAACTCCTTATAAAGACAATTCTTTTGAGGACTTGTAAAAATATTTCTAAGTTTTAAGTCGTACCTGTACCTGAAATGATAGAAGGGGTACACACAAATCGTAGGAGGCACAGTCATTTTTAACATTTCTTTATTGAAACATGTATACAATGAAAACTTGTAAAATATAATACTAAACAATATATGCGCCGCCATTTTGAATCTAGTTATAAGAGCAGAACTGTATACCCCGCACATGCAAACAAGTACCAAGGGTAAATAACAAAGAAAAACAAAACACTAACAAATTTTGCATAGTTTTCTAGAGACCGACCGAAATTTCGGTTTCGGTTTCGGCCAGTTTCGGCCAAGAATTTTAGTTTCGGCTTCAGTTTCGGTTTCGGCCAATTTTTGGCCGAAACGTTCGGCCGCATCGAAACTCACTTTTCGTGAATTGTCGTGCATCGCTCGGCTAACTTCGCGACTAATGGCGGTAGTTACTTGCCATCTCAGTTCGTACAAAGAAACTTAAATTAATATTATATTTTGTATCAAGTGACTAAACGGGGATTTTACTCACGTGATGGATTTTGTATCTAAAAAAAACCATTACACAGGGTGTTCCAAAAACAATATAATAACATTTAAACAGAAAATGCAAAATTCCAGTAGGGAAATATATAACTAAAACCACCGTCAAAATAAAATCAAAGGAAATTAATATGATAAAATGATGTAAAGAAAAAACGACAAATTTTTGAAGATAATTTCTAAGTTTTCACCAGGGAAAATTAGTATACATGGTGTTACAAAAAACCACTACGGTAAATTATAATACAGGGTGATGCAAATAGAAAACGACAAAATTTTACAGAAAAGTCCTAAATTTAAATAGGATAACATATATCTTTCCCCTTTTAACAAACCCACTACGGGAAACCTTAATACAGGGTGATACAAAAAGAAAACTACAATATTTGAAAGGAAAATCCTAAGTTTAAATGGGATGACATACATCTTTCCTCTTTGGTCACTACGACAAATTAATATACAGGGTATTACAAAAATAAAACACTAAGTTATGAATAAGAATATGGTCTATTAAATGATAAGGAAAATATATCTACTGGGTGATACGCCAAGAAAAATTAAGATTTAAGTAGGAAAACGGGTGGAAACAATAAACAAGGCGACAATAACAAGATAATATAAGAAGAAAGCCATCACAACTTAAAAAAAACAAAATGTTTAGACAGAAAATCAAAGAAAAGTGAAAAGTAAGAAAACATACAATTAGAACATTTCAAAAATTGGATTTTCTTTGGATATGAAGGAAAAGTGATGGGTTGGATATTACAAAAATATAGCCCAAAGCAGAATTTTATTTAAAATCATGTAAAACAACCACCCGGAGAGCCGCCGGAGAATCAAGAACTTAGCCGACGGCACGCAATATCTTAATCTTTTTAATTTGTACTTTAAACAAAAAAAAAACAAGGTGTCAAATACGTAATGGCTTAAAGACCACGTAGTTGAAGTAAAAACAAGTAAAGGATTGCCTTTATTTTGAATGGATTAGATTTTCAAATGGCTTAAGAAATGCGAGAACATGCCTTGATGCAAAATTAAGTTTTGCGCTTTTTGCCTATCCAATAAATTGTAACGATCTTAATTATGCACATTGTATAAATGATGAAATACGCGTATCATACAAAAAGAGTATCCGACGGCCGACGGAACATCACTCACGTTACCTCTGCCTATAAATAATTCGCATTTAACGAACGCCGCACATCACTCGCGCACAATAGAAGGAACGTTTAGAAATATTACGTAATGACGTAAAAGAAATTAGGGAACTGAAATTATTGTGAAGAAAATGTGCGTGCAGATCACCCTACGACAAATATAAGACTGTCGCGGAAGCAAGCCAACCGCGTGGTGACCGCACAAAAATTGCTCGAGATAAAAAAACTTGTTTGTTTGTAAACACTGATACATTCAGTGTGGTAATGCAGAACATGAAAAGAATTGTATTCGTACAATGCATGGAACTTTTAATTTCGATTTAATTATGAATCGGACACCAGTAACAAAATTATAGATTAAAGCCCTATTGGCGTGTAAATAAACGTTGAATGTTATGATAATAAATACTTAAACAGTTCTTTTAATTCTACATCGATTATTTTCGTAACTTTTTTTCCCGAGATTAACCGTTTAGGCCCTGTTTGCAAATTTTAGTGAAAACTGCATTGGACATAAAAAAGAGAATTTTTTTGATTTTTTTTAAAACGACATATTTTATTTCAACACATACAGATTCTGTAATAATTAGAATTTTTGAATTCTGTTTTTTGGTTTTTGAGAGTATATTAAATTCTAAATTGGAAACATGTAACACAATTGTAGATTAAAACCATTTTGGCATGTAAAAATCTTTTTTTTTTTTAATTAAAATTGTAAATAGGGCCTTAACCGTCATTGATAGAAAAATAATTACTTAAATAATCAATTAAGAATTAAATTATCTTCCAAAATCCAAAAACAGAATTTAAAAATTCCCATTATTTCAAAAGCTGCACTAGCTGAAAAAAAATTTCATCATAAAAAAGACAAATGATTTCTCTTTCTTATTTTCGGAATTAAAAATTGTATCTAATAGTACTGGGTTTTCCCAAAAAAAAAAAAACCCAAAGAATTAAAAACGCAACCGACGGCACACGAAAATCTTAATCTTAATCTTAATCAAATCAACGGTAGGTATTGAAAGAGAAACAAAAATTATTTGTGTGGTTATTAACCGCTGGTTGGACCACGCGGTTGAAGTAAAATCTAATTAACAATAATGGATTTGATTTTCATATGGCTGAAGAAATGCGAGAACATACCTTGATGCAAAATAAATTTTTGCGCGTTTGGCATATCCAAAGAAAATACGAAATAAATATGAAATACGCGAATGATACAAAAAGAGTATCCGACAGCCGACGGAACATCACTCACGCTTTACCCTTGCGTGTGAACAATCCGCGCTTAACGAAACAGTACGTAATAACGCGACAAAAAGTTAAGGAATTCAAAATATTGTAAGGAAAATGTGCGTCCAGATCACCTGACGACAAAAATGAGACTAACGTGATACGCATGCCAACCGCGTGGCGACCGCACAAAACTGCAGGAGATAAAGAAACTTGTTTGTTTGTAAACAATGATACTTTCAGTGTGGTAATGCAGAACATGAGAAGAATTGTACTCGTATTATGCATAGAACTATTAATTTTTATTAAAATCTTAATCAGATTCTGAAAGATAATTTAATTCTACATCGTTTATTTTAGTAACTAACATTAACCGTTTAGAGTGTTTAGACCATATTTTCAATTTAGGAGAAAAATGCACTCGTTTTTCGTTTGTTCTTGACATAATCGCCAAAAAATTCGACCGAAAAATATTTTAACACAATAGTTCGACCCTGTTCATTGACCAAAAAAATGTTAAGTAAAAAAGTTCGATCCTGCTTTTCGACCGAAAAAATTTTAACAAAAAATTCGACCGAAAAAATTTTAAGTAAAAAAGTTCGACCCTGTTTTTCGTCCAAAAAAATTTAATAAAAAACTTCGACCGAAAAATGTTAAGTAAAAAAGTTCAACCCTTTTTTTCGACCGAAAACATTTTAACAAAAAAATTTAACCGAAAAAATATTAACAAAAAAAATTTTAACAAAAAAATTCGAACGAAAAATTAAAAAATAATTCGACCGAAAAAAATTTAACAAAAAAATTCGAACAAAAAATTAAAAAAAAATTTGACCGAAAAAAATTTAACAAAAAAAGTTCGACCCTGTTCTTCGGCTGAAGAATATTTATTAAAAAAAGTTCGACCCTGTTATTCGACCAAAAATGAAATTTATTGGACAAAAATAACGATAATCGAATGGGATTTTAAGACACTTACAAACGGTTTATAGGGTTAAAAAGGTATGCATAGTGTAAAGGGTCTATCGAACTTTAACATGACGTTAAGAAACTTCAAGAAAATTAATTAGTTCATGTGATACAAGGTGTTTTCCACACCATGTTTTCAAATTTTCCTAAAATTGCTGATTTTTGAAGAGCATTTTAAGGCACTTCCGGAAGGCCTGGAAGGTTGAAAGGGTATTCATCGTGTAGAGAAACTCTAACTCTATTCTGGTGTGGAGAAACTCCAAGGAAGTCAATTAGTTCACTAGATACAGAGGGTTTTTCACACCATATTTTCAACTTTTCCTAAAAATTCCTCATTTTTGAAGATCATTTTAGGGCACTTCCAAAAAGGCTGGTAGGTAGGAGGGGTATGCATCTTGTAGAGGAATTCTTCCGCTCTAACATGACGTTAAAAAAACTTACGAGATACTGGGCGTTTTCCACACCATGTTTTAATAACGCATCTTGAAACGGCTACTCTTTAATATCTGCAGACACGTGAGTTCAACCACCGTATCAGCTGACAATCGGCACGACACTGCTAGCAGTCCGCTAAACTATCCTCCCTCCCGCGCCCTACTGACAGTATGGCGAAGGTCGTGCAGATATAGACTGGATAATACGTAGTACCGTAATCTAGTCTTCGATACAATAAAAAGTATAAACAAACATACATACATGCAATTTTTAGCCGAAACAGAAACTGAAGCCGAAACTGACCGAAACCGACATTTCGGTCGGTCTCTACTTTAACTGCACCATAGGCAAATACTGCAGTACTTGGCCGTCCGTGCCATTTTTGCCACTTTTCGTGTCTTGAAACAATCGAAAAATTTAAAGGTGGAAGTAAGAAATTAGTATATTATAGGCACAGTGAATATTGTTTATGTTACGAGCAAATTGTAAGCAGATCCGATGCGCAACTGCGTTACAATGTAACGATGCAACTGCAACTACGCAGCGACGAATATTTCGTATAGTTACGAGAATTTAACAACTTTATCAAACATACATATTAACATCAGGTGAAACAAGTTGAGTTTTGTTGTAATAGTTATTATATTATAATAATTCACAATACACAGTATTTTATGTATGTACAAAATTTACAGTAATATATAGACATCACAATTTTTCCTATATTTATACTTTTGTTATCCCCTTATTTGTTATACATCTTCTCTTATCATCATCCTTTGTGTTGCTTTATTATTATCCTGTCAATTATATTCACAAATTCTGTCGGTTTGACAACTTCCTAACCGTTCAATCTTTCAGTTATTTCTGCTTAATAGTAGTTCATAATAATCCAACATTATTTTTTCATCTTCTTCATTATTATCATCTTAATAACGTTTCTCTAACTTATTATATATATTTATATTCTTTATATATAATATTTATATATTTATATATCTTAGTGCTAAATACACTGTACAGAACATATCGTATTCTAAAGAACTAAAAATAAAGGATACTTAAAGTAATCTAATAACAGAGAAAAAATCATGAAATGTCCCATCTCATCTGAAGATGTCTTCTTTGTGTGATCTTTAGTGAATGAATTCTCTCGATTCAATCGTCTGCTGAAAAATAATTGGATGTAACTCGGTAAATTTATGATCAATTGATCGGCCTGTGACAAAATCCAAAATGAAATTAAATCATTAGTCGTATTCGCCAGATATTCACATTTATACAAATAGACAATCTTTTCATCATCCTATGTCACTGCAATTAGAGCGATCAAATAATTAACAATTTTGCATCCTTATATTGAATTTGTATGAATGATTTATGCGGACAATAGCTGCGGTGCGTTCGTCCTCAGTTTTCAGCGTACTCGCAGTGCTATGTAATTATATGTAATATCTCTAAAAATATTTTACACTAAACTGACTGAAATGCAAACAGCGAACGTTGGGATGCAACATGTTATTCGTGAACGTCGTGATCGTATGTCTGTGTAGACTCTTAAGTTGCAAAAGTTTGCCGGTTTATCATATTTACTGGGACTGTAGTGTGTGAATGTCCTATAACCCTATAATGCTGTTATAATAGAAATGCTTACAATTGTAACGGTTGCGTTCAAACTGCTAAGGTTTAAAACAAAAAGAAAATGTTGACGCACGCAGCGTCTCCACACTCAAATTAATCAAACCTACGCATCTCTACGCTGAAAACTTCTAGGTATCCAATACAGAAGAGTACGCGCGAGTCGCGGCGAGTTGAGCATCGCTGCAAACTTAACATTAATAATACAACACGCATTGGCGAATCGCAGCGATGTTAACTCGCGCTCGCCTGTCGGCATCGGTCGACGAGATCGTCTTCTAATTCTTGACCCAGTGTTAAGGAAGTTTTGTGTGCAGCATGATCAAAATCAATTTATCGATCGACTTGTGGTCTCAACAGATTGATAGCGATTGTGCACGACGTTTAAACTTGATTGCGTTCTTATAAATAATATAATTGAACTCAAGAATTCAAAACAAAGTTCAGACATTTTTCGAAAAAAAAATAACGCATATTTAGTAAATAGTAATAATAAAAAACAAAAATTTCCCATGTATTCTTCATCTCTTTACATATGAATTTTTTTATTATAAACTAAGCGCGCGCGCAATGAGATCTCTTTTATAGGTAGTAAATTTTTTTTTGGATTTTTCGCATTTTTGTTTATGTGTTCAGTTTAATAATGTACTATTATAGTTTCATGTATTGTTTAAATATTTTCGTAATAGTAAATAACGTTTAACTACTTTTGTCAAGAAATCACAGTGAAATTTTTAAATATTAATAATATAAATCTTTTTTTAATCTTTTCCGTTTGCATATCGTTTAAGTATGTGTATTTAAAATTGTCCACCTGTTCTTCATTCTAATAGCCGTAAATTGGGTTTGCATTCCTGGTGTAGAGTTAAACTAGCCTTGAATCATAATCATATTTCGAGTCGTAGATATTTCGTGAACGCAAAAACTGCGCGAAAGGTTTACACATAAAGTGCAATTAGTTATTTATAGTTAAGTCCGGGTTCAAGTAGTACTTCGGTTCGGCGGGTCGCCACTCGCTGATGATAGTTTTCACACCGTCGTGATAACAATCAGCAGGTGCGCAATGTCAGCGACGCGTTCCAACAAGCTAGGTGCAATACGTCGCAGGTTCTCATTGACGAAGTCGCACGATGGAAAAATGTGTACAACATAAGCCGGCTAAAAATAGTAACAAAATATTATTAGTACACTTATTTGGAAGCATGCGGTTTGCTGTTTGTTTTATGTGCTCGCACTTGGTACGCTGCTTTAATTGTGACTATATCAATACTGAACATGCATGCACTGACGAGTTGAATAGCAGCGTGGTAGCATTAATCGTAAACTTAATTTGACTGAATCAAAATACACAATTAGAAATTGATGTATTGTTACATGCATTGAATTCAAATCTGGATTTTTTCTAGTGCAGCTAGCAAAATTGTGGTCTTAGGATATTGATATTTGTCAATAAATGATCATAAATGCACTTACCGGTTGAGTGGTGCCAGGTGCTGCCACATTCACAATTCCCGCCGCCTGCTTGTGTTGCAAATAAGTTATGAAACCGTTGGTAAGGTTCGTAGATTGTTTCAATACATCCATGTGGTCGTGGCCACACGGGAGCGCCAGTAACATGCAGTGTTCGTTCTCCATCTGTGATAAAGCAATTAGTTTAGTAAACGATTGACACTATTATATGTTAACAAACAAACCTGCATCTTTCGTGCAACCCCCTCGACCTGTGGCGGTTCGAGTCTCATTCGCTGAAATATCCTGAGCGGAGGAGTGCTTCCATCAATGTTCTTCGGCAGACTCATTTTAGCTACCTGATCGTTACCAGAAACGAAATACATCTGCACGGCAGCTTGATCGTTCTTCAAAGCTAGCAGGCCTTGCCACATTAAGGGATATTGCTGAAAATGATCAAGCAAAACCTTACATTCATTCTGTACCAAAATACTGCTATTAACTTACCTTCAAAAGCATAAGAAGACTTTCAGCCTGCGGTGGCACCTGACTGGCGTGTGGTGGAGTCGCTGCTTGAATGCCCCGTTGTGACGCGGGCGCATCACCCACGTGTCTCGCCACTGCGCCCATGATGTTGCCGGCAGCGCCTAACACTGCCCCGAGTCCTAAACTGCTCATCCTCTCAGGAATATGGGTAGACATTGGTCTGTCGGGCGTGTGAATTGACAAGGGGCGTTCGATGTGTGACGCCAATGCGGAGTGTGTGCTCAAAGGTCTATCGGGCAAAGCACCCATATGACCAAGGGACCGTTCGCTGCCTAAAGCGGCAAGAGAACCATGGCTGGTTAATGGTCGGTGCGCCGGAGGAGGTTCCTGCGATGCATAATATCTACCCAGTTGGTGTGGAACGCGGTTGGAATGAATGCCATAGGCTTGGCCTATTTGTGGTGATTCTGAAAATGAAAATAATTAGTATTTCACAACGCATTGTATAACAAATAATATAAGTACCTGTGCTTCGGTCTTGCAAGGGTGATTGTAAACTGTGTGGGACATTGGATCGACCTGTAAGAGCTATGCCCACTGATCCGGGCCTACGCATCTCCAGTGGCGGTGAAGTAACAGGAGCTTCCTCACCCTCCTGCCCGTCAGCAGATTTTTCAATTCCGAGACTTCTACAATCAAATGCGTGTTAAATTCCGAAATCGTATGCAATACTCTATTATAACGTACCTTTGCAAATGATATGGCTGTTGACGCATATACTGTTGATACAATGATGGGTGGATGTAGTGCGAGTGAATGTCATGTGGTAGTCGCACACTTGGCGTATAATGCGCAATGCCCTCCCCCTGCAAAGAAAAAAATCACATTATTATCGGTGAACGTACATCCAGACAAACAGAACAATATATTTGACTGCAAATAGTGCTGGATTGAGCAAGTGACAACTGTATCTATACACTTCAAATTCAAAAAGAGGAAATACAAAAAAAAAAAGAAAATAGTCAAGGCAGGTAATTTGAATTCTTAAATAAAATTATCACCTGAGGTGATGGTGAATTCTGATGAGCTGGTGGTGGACTGCGTCTTCTAGTCTCTCCATGCTGCTAGAGGCGGGTGGTTAGTGAAAAACAGAACCAGTTAGTACGTCGTTGGGCAAGACTGATCGGATAGCAAAAATAAACGTAGATATATTTACTCACCATTGAAGCTTCATATGCCGGCACGGGGATGACATGACGTCCTTGTGGTGACGCGTTGGAACGTGGGACCATCACGCACCCACTAGCAATCGACACCTCCACTTTGGGTGGTTCCATCACCGTTTTGGTGGCAACTCGTTGCAGGCCGACAGCAGTCATGATATGTTGCTGCTTCACCGGTGGGGTAGCGACCATGGATTGAGACGAAGTTGGTGTGACATGTTTAAGAATCGGAGACTTGGACAATTGTTGTTGTTGTTGTTGTTGTTGCAATTGCGTATGTTTCAGTTGCACGATTGGAGTTCCCTTTGCCAATAACTGCTGGGCTTGCTGTATTGCTTGTTGTTGCTTGCTGGCGACAACTTGTTGAATAATTTGTTGATGTTGATGCTGTGGTTGTTGTTTAGTGTGAACACTTGGACTAAGTGGGGGTTGTATAACTTTAACACCCTGAATGGGTTTAGTCAAAGAGTGAGGTGCAGTTTGACGTGGGGAGGTATGTGCAGGAATGTCATAGGGCAATGTGACATTTAAGTTGAGTGGTTTGTTTGCTTGGTATGCCACGGTCGTCGTGATAGGTACAGAAGCAGGAGCGCTTGGAACTTGCACTGGCACCGTCAACGCGGGAATAGAGGGTACCTGCAACTGTTGCTGTTGTAGCTGCTGTTGTTGTGCATTCAAAACCCGAGCCTTCAGAGATTGTGGCTTCTGTTTAACCAAAACGCTTGATGCCTGCTGTTGAGGTGGTTGGGTCTGCAAGGCAGATTGCTGCTTTTGCTGAGTAGTAATCACACTATCCTTGGGCTTCTGACCGGCAAGAGGAATGTATCGTCCTTCTTCACACTCTCGCATTGGAGTCAACAGCCCGGTGACGGGATCGATCAGCGTCATAGATTCATGTGAATTGGGCAGGCCTGAGTGTTGCTGCTGAGCCTGTTGTTGCATTTCTCCTTTCACCCGGCGTAACATCGCAGCTTTAAGTCCTTCGTGCGGTTTTTCGCGCACTTCTAATTTGGATTGTTCAATAACAGTTGTAGCTGGAGACATTGTTGATCGCACTACTTCCTTCTCACCTTCATCCACTTTAGAGCTGACACCAAGCTGTTCATTCTTAATTGTCTTGAGCGATTCTTCCGAGGAATCGTCAGTTGTTTCGCTTGGCCGACGATCCTTCTTTTCTTTCTTGCCACCTCTAGGTGATTTACGATTCTCGGCTGTATTGGAAGCCTTCACGGTCCCAACAGTCTGTCGCAAACTTCTTCGTGGAGCATTCACAGCAGCTGCTGCCGCAGCGGCACGCGTAAGAACGGTGTTCTTTACGACATCTTCGATGGTATTGCCCACAGTATTGCGTGGAACATCACGTTCCCGCACGGTGTTCTTAATTACATCTTCTATGGTATCATCTACAGTATTACGTGAGACGTCGCGTTCGCGCAATCGTTGAGATTTGCGAGTATTTGATAAACAAGCAAACTCTTCCTTCACTTCAATCTTCATTGAAGTTGGGCATGTACCTGGTGTTTGTACTGGGATAATGGTTGATGGTTGTTGTGTGAGTGGTTGCTGGGGTTGAACGGACTGCAAAGACGATTGAACAACTGAGGACTGTGGCACAACTTGTGGTGGTGATGGAGACGGCACCTCGGGCTGTGGCAATTGTATCGTGATCGGCTGTGATTGCTGCGGCAAAGACGTTGTTGGTGTTGAAGATGGCGTTGTTTGCATTGGCAATGGTGAAGCCGCTTTCTTGGCAGGTACTACCAGCTCCTTCACTAGCGTAGTCGGTGCATTTAGATTGACAGCCGGACCACTAGGGCCGGCACCTTTGATAGTCATAATCAATCTTGGTCTGTCTTTATTCTCATCGCTATCGTCTCTAAATTCGTACACATCATCAGATTCTGATTTCGTTACCTTTCTGTCGGTCTTGGTTCGTCCACCTCGGCCTCTGCCCCGCGTGGATGCGCCAGTAACTTGCGAGGACGGTACAGCCTTACCACGTCTCGTCTGCACCCCTCCACGAGTTGATCCGCCACGCGCCTTACCACGTGCACGTCCACCACGTTTACCACGTACGCTCACATCTGTCTCATGGAACTCGTGTAATTCTTCTAGTTCATCGTCTTTGTCTTCCACTAATTTTTCTTCAGTGTTGGGTTCAGGTTTCTCATCAGACCACTCCTTCTTGCGACTATTTCCACGATCAGATAAATCGGCAGAGCACAAAGCGTCTACCTTTCTAATGACAGAGTCAATGTTAATTTCCGCTGGCCAATAATCTCCGTCCTCCTTCGAATCTTCGTTTTGGTCAACCTTTACAATTTCAGGTTTATTGACAACTTCAAGCTCCTCAATTTTGATCTTTTCTTTTAGTGGTTCAATAATTTTCTCCTCATCGAATTTCTCAGTCTCCTTAATAACACTGACATTTTCAGAAGTGGTGGGCACTGTTGCTGGTGGCGATTCGTGCTGATCTTCATCCGTTGGTTCCTCTTTAACCAAAGGTTTCACCACTTTACTCTGCTCGGAAACAGGCTCTTCAGATTTTTTCAAAGTCAAGTTAAGTTCTTCTGTGACCGTCTCAATAGGCAATGCCTTGGAATGGTCTTGAGTTATCACATTTGGAGCAGGCACCGGTGACAATTTTAGTTCATCTTTTACTATCACAGGAGCTACTATTACCGGACTAGGTGTTGAAGTACGCGGCGTTTCTTTCACTTTGAGAAGATCTTTAGGTTCCTCTTCAATTTCCTCTTCCGACGGCGTCTTTTGAATAATCGTAGATGGAGAAGATGTCTGATGACTTGTTGTAATTGGTTGACTTGACTGAGTTGGAACCTGTGAGCTTAATTTCGGCCCTTCTTGAATGACTGGCATGAAAGGCGAGCTCGGAGCCTGCTTTGTAGAAGAATGGCTAACTACAATCGATGGAACAGCAGGTACTTGATTACTCGGTGGTAATGTAGTTGACAAGCAAGTGGGTGTAGTTGGTACCAATTTGGGTAAACCTGTTTGAGACACAGGCCACCCTTGCCTGGGCGCCAAGTTAGTCGTAGACAGACTAGCGAGTTTTGGTAGCTCAGGTCCCATTGTTGGTGGTTTGTCGTAAGTATTGGGCATATATACGTTAGATCTAATGAGAGGTGGCCTTTGCAATATAGTTCGAGGTGGGAACTGTCCATGCAGATACTGCGGGATCATTTCCGTTTGGGCAACCTTAGGTTGAGGCAAAACATGCGTAGTCGGTTGTGTTGATTTGGCCACCACCACCGGTGTTATCGGAAGGCGGTTGGAAGGTTTCATCTCCTTCGACACAGGATATGACGGTAACTGAGCCGGCATATTGTGAGTAGTAACTGGCAATTTAGTTACCGGCTTCAATGGCGGTGGACTGGGCAGCTTGGGCGTTTCTTCTTTCACAGGCAACAAAACAGATGGTTGCAGGTGTTGCTGTGATTGCGATGGCGGTAATAAGGGCTGTGCCGGTTTTTGCTGCATTGAAATGGCAAGCGGTGGCATAGACTTTATATCTGGCTTGTCATCGTCAGTCCAAGTACTTGTAGTAGCAATAATCGGTAAACTATGAAGAGGTTTCTTGGGCTCTTGAAGAACATCCAAATTACGCTTGACTTCCGCTGCCACAACCTCCGTCGTCGGCGTAATAGGTTTAATTGGTGTAAGTGAGGGCGGCGACCCTATGCTCGGCATACTCTTGTCCGCAGACTCTTTTCGGAAATAACTTGGCGAAATATCCGGTGTTTTTGGTGGTTGTGAATAATCCAACATGTCAGGCGTCTTTGGTGTATCGTAACGAATAGAAACGTCCTCCTGCTCCTCAGTGTCCGTATCTATTTGCAGTTCGCTTTCGCTCTGCGGTGTCTCTGGTTTCTGTTCCATTTCGCTGGAGTTTAAGCTCTGCACAGCTTGAAGCATTTCCTCATCATCTTGCGTTTCGTTATTAGTGGAATCCAGTCCAGAAGGACTCTGAGGATCGTAATCATCGAACTGTCCGCTGCCGAAACTTTCACCCAGAAGTGCCGCAACTGCGTCTTCGGTTTCTTCTTGTGAAATAATGCGCGGTGGCTTTTCTTCAACCGGCTGTTCAGGCACCTCAGATTTTATCTCATCTTCTGACGTAGGCACAGGCGATGGCTCAACCTTTGGCGACTCAACCAACTCTGAGATAGACTTAACGGCATTTGCATTCTCGTGAATTTTTTCGTCAATATCCACGCCAAAGCCGGCAATAAACTTATCACGTTTCTTGTCCTTTGAGGAAGTCGGTGTTTTAGGTATTGGGCTGATCAGCGGTTCTTTAGGCTGTGGTGATATAGAACGGTCGAAATTAGGTGCATCGAAAATGCTAATAACTCCAGAAACAGGCGTAGGCGTGCTCTCCTCTTTAATTTCAGTCTTGATGGGCACATCCAGCAACATCACCTCCTTCTTGAATTCCGGTGTCTTTGGTTTGTTCTTATCATGATGATGGTGATGATGGTGCCGTTGTTTTTCATCTTTGGACTTTTTACGCTTCTTTTTCTTTTCCTTGTTTTCCTTACGGTCACCAGTCTTCTCATCGACGTCAATATATCTAAATACTTCATCAGCCTCCGGTCGTGATTCTTCGATCTCTGTCTTGACTTTAAGTTCAGCAGGCGGATCCGAATCGTCCTTGATATTGTCTTCAAGCTGTTTGCCCAAATCAGAATAGTCTATGCTGTTATCGTTTGCCAATTGCTGATGTTGCTGCTCTTCTCTGAGACGCTTTTCTTTATCGCGACGTTTCCGTTCCTTTCGCTTCCGATGCTCTTCCTTGAACCGATCCTTCTCCTCTACCTTGGACCGTTCCTTGTCAAGCTGACTGCGCTCTGGAGATTTGGGCTCAGAAACTGTAGGCGGATTGTCCGAGTCGCTAGCAAACAAATGTGCATGAGTGTCGTTGTTCTCACTGAATTGTGTAACAAAAATAATTTTCTCATCAGCTTCCTTTTGTACATCTGAATCGTCTGATAGAGAACCGAAAATGTTTTCCATCTTGCCATCCCGTCGGAACTCTTTCGAATCGGATCTGTTCTTTTTAGACTTCTTAACGCGCTCATCTTTCGTCTTGTCGCGTTTCTTGTCTTTCTTGCTATGCTGCTTGCGCTTTTCACCTTGTTTGTCGTGAGAATCGCCGTCCACTTTCGAACTCTCTTCTCCGCTTGTGGAATTTTTCGAGCGTTTCTGCTTCTTCCTGTGTTTCTTACGCACTTCCATCTTAACGCTTTCGCCCTCGGAAGAATCGTACATGCGGTTGCTATTGTTGAACTTCACTTCTTTTGATTCCAGGGGAGGCGAGTCCAAGTCAAACAACATATCACCATGTTTATTATTCTTGCGTTCCTTCTTCAAATACCGATCGTCAAAATCGATCTTTTTGCTGTATTTTTCCTCGCTATCCGCAAAGCCTTGGTCTTCGTTATCGCTAAAATCTTCGGTCTTTACTTTGCCAGGTAGTTTCATATCATCATCAGAGGTATCTGACGTTATGCGTGACTTAGGTTGTTTTAGGTTCTTGATGTCATCCTCACTGCTTTCAGCAATTGATTTCGGTTGACGATTTCGGTCTGAATCAGAGTCACTAAACTCCTTTTTGATAGGTTTGTCGAAATCATCATCATCGTCAGTGGAGGCAAGCAGTACCTTACCCTTTCGGCGATATTCGTACTTCTCAATATCAGAGTCGGAGTCTTCGTCCCAAGATGTGGAACGTTTCTTTTCCTCTCGCTTTGCGCGACTCTGTTTGAGCTGCGAAAACTTGGCCTTGATTTTCTGGCGCTTTTCTTCTTCCTGCTTCTGCATGTTTTTACAGCTGCGTGCCTTCACTTTGTCGTACATCGAAATATAAGCTGGCTCATCGTCGACAATATCAAAAATGGAATGTTTCTTGGGCTCGTCCGAATCCGAATTGTCAGAACTAAGAGTTACCTTACGAATTCGTCGAATGGTCTTCTCTTCTTTCACCTGACGGAAAGGATCCTTGCTAGGCGTCTCACCGCTTCGACTACTCTCAGAGTCTCGATTGCATTTATAGTCCTTTTTGATGCGGATTTCATCGCCACGACTTTCCGACTTACGCTCGTCCTTCCCAATTTCTTTATTACGCTGTTGCTGCTTCTGCTTTTCCACTTCCGCCAGCTCAAATCGCGCTAATAAATCTTTGTCTTTGTCCAATTCTTTGGTAGGAGATTTAGGCGTACCAGGAGATTCTTTATCGCGACTCTTCGACTTGCTCTTCTGTTCCAGTTTGAATCTGGCTTTGTTCTTATGCCGCTCTTCCCGTTCTCGTTCTTTCTCTTTATCCTTATCTTTTTCTTTCTCCTTGTTGCCACTGGTAGCGTCTTTAACGTGATTGTGTCGCGTTTTTTCGTCATACACCTTCGCACTAGTGCTGGAGTTCTTCGAGTGTTTCTTAGTATTTACTTCCTTGGAATCCCTCCGCTCAGAAATTTTGGAACGATGTTCGATCTTAATCTTCTTGGTTTCATCCAGGCTATCGAGCGAGTCATGCGAGCTAATGCGACGTTTAGTGCCTACTAGAGTAGCAGGTAAACTATTGACGCGTTCTTTCCGGCGCGTTGGATCTTTACTGTCAAACTTGGTTGCGTCAAGGGAAGTATGGTGCACCTCTACAGGTCGGTCTTTGGTCTCACGAATCTCATTGAAGAGGTTCTTCGCTTTCTCATGCTGGTTGTTTTCGCGATTTTCTTTGACACTTTCTTTCCGACGTTCCAAGTCATCGCGTCGATCTGTACAGCGATTCTTGTCGTGCACATTCCGACTGGAAATATGGTTATCTTTTTTGTCACCTTTGTCAATCCGCTCCGTCTGTTCCTTGCTGGCTGCGCTTACGTTATTCTCGCGATTGTGTTTCGGTTCACTGTGATTATCTCTACTGGTATGACGATGATCGTTCTTCTTGTTGCTGTCGTGATTGTCCTCTTTGTGCTTGCGTTCATCGTCCTTGTCAAGGCGCCGGCGCTCCTTCTCGAGTCTATCTAGCTCTTCTTTCTTTTCGCGCTCTTCGCGTTCACGTCGCTCTTTTTCTTCTTTCTCGCGTCGCTCACGACGCTCGCGCTCCAGATGTTCCCGCTCACGGTCCTCCTGCTCTCGACGTTCCTTCTCCTCTTGCTCAACCCTTTCCTGTCGTTCTTTCTCCTCACGCTCTCGTCGTTCCTTTTCTTCCCGCTCACGGCGTTCACGTTCCTGGCGTTCTTTTTCCTCACGGCGCTCATTTTCTTCCCGCCGCTCCTTCTCCTCACGTTCGCGCCTTTCCTTTTCTTCCCGTTCAAAACGTTCCTTCTCCAGTCGCTCACGCTCCAAGCGCTCAGTACGTTCTTTCTCCAGCCTCTCGCGCTCTAAACGCTCACTGCGTTCCTTCTCCTGTCGCTCGCGCTCCAAACGCTCAGCACGTTCCTTTTCTTCACGCTCCAACCACTCTTTTTCGGTGCGCTCCTTTTCGAACCGTTCTTTCTCTTGTTCCAAGCGCTCTAGCTCACGTTCCTGGTCCCGCTCGCGTTCCTTCTTCCGTTCTCGTTCGGTTTCCCGGAAACGTTCCATACCACGATACACTTCATCGAGTCTTTCGACTGGTTCCGGTGAATTCAGGTACCCATAATCTAAATCCAGTTCACTCACTCGGGCATTCCCGTCGGCACTATCACAATTATCATTAACACTGTTCCTCCTTGACTTGTTTTCACTACTACTATTCGAACTGATAGTTGAATCACGCCGCGATCTGGTTGAGGACACCACACGTGCGCACACTGTCGTCTTAATTAAAGTCGTGCTGGTGGTCGCGCATTCGGTCGCGGTCGCACTACACGCAGGAATGTTTCGGCTGTTTGTAGTTGTGGCGGTAGTGCCGACCACTACGGCTGGTGCCGCCACCGTCACTGACGACACCATCACATCACATGCTTTAGACGCCACCCCCGCACTACCGGTCGATACATTTCTATTCACTTTACTAGGTGTCCACGCGCCGTCGTTGGGTGCGTTCGCACACGATTTCAGTCTGTTATCACCGTGGGCGCTCCGCAACAACGGCGTGGTGTTGGAAGGCGGCGGCTGGCTAGCCGGCGAAGTCGTCGGCGTGGACGACGACGGCGATGGCTGCATTGGCGGATGTGACGGGAACGGATACTGTAAACCTTTGGCCGGCGTTAAGGCAGCACCTAAAAGACAATCGCACGCATATATAAAGACCATCCTAGAAGTACCCTTTTGTAGGTTGGACTTACCAGAAGATCGAGGTGAAAGCATTGTAGGGGTCTTGGGTATGGGCGTGGTGCACACCTTGAGAAGAGGTAGTGTAGATAATGTGGTTGCAGGTACTGTAGTTTGGACCGAGACCGGCGGCACACGCAACACCGAATTAAATTCTTTCGGCTCGTACTTCTCGCCCACATTCTCGAGACGTTTAGAATCCTCGTCGAAAACGGACCGTTTCGCCATTACCGATTTGACAATCTCACTGGGCTGCACCTCGCGCAAGTCCAGGTCAAGAAGGTTACGCGTCAGCCGGAAGCGCTGACTTGTCGTGTCGAGCTTGGCGAGCGCCTCCAATCCTGCGGTGCTAGTTGCACGAGACCCGCTCCACTTTTCGTATTTCTCGTCCAAAGACTTAATGCGCTCGTCAAGGGACGGCGATATTGAGGCACCGTCGCTGTCGCTACTGTTTGAGCTAAGCGATGGCGGCCGCGGTGGAGGTGACGCTGGCGGCGGTACTGGCGTCGGACTAGGCGGTTTGGGATTTGATATTCGCGGACTTGTTACTGCGGCCGGTGGACTGGACAGCACATTCTCTTTCTGGCCTTTAATGCCTGCCACTGAAACGCTTGCGCGTCCAATCATTTGAGATGCAAAGCGCGGCAGTGGCAAGGTAAGAGGGCCTTCCCGCTCTCGTGGAGTACGTCGCGGCTCCGTAGGTGCGAAATGCTCCGGTCTTTCGTCGCACAGAGGCGTACCAGGACGCGAGCCTCCAACACTTTCAGAACTTTCATAATGATGCGCTCGGCCCGAATCACTACCCGCAGTCTTCCGCCGCTTGCAGACAGCATGCGGGAGATAGGTACCACGTTCATGCGCCACGTGCTTGCCGCTGTCTACACTGGGCCGCCGAGAAAGGTGTTTCACGCTCGCATCGGATGTTCGTCGTACCTCAGTCACCTTGCGATGGTCGCGGTTTGCCTCGATGATCACATCACTATTGGAAGCCTCAAGATGGTCGAGCTTCAGTCGTTTCTTGGGACTAATCACTTCGTCGCCCGAGCTGTGGCAATCCTCCAGCTGTTCAAGAAGATGCACACGTTCCTTCTGCAAATTGCGAATATCTGGCTGGGCAAAGGGTTGCATTGTGCTCGGGTCGTTGACAACACGCACATCGATTGGATCCACATGCGACGGGCTCTCGTGGTACGGATACTCATGCTCGTAAGTATCCTCGTGCGAGGCTGCGCTGCCCTGACTATATTCGTCGTAGTTACGAAAGTGTCGCTCGTTATATTCGCTATTGTTCTGTTGTTCATAGTACTCGTAACGTGGTACCCTGCTGCGAGAGCCTGTACCACGTGGCGTTGCCGAACCAGGCGTACCGGGTGATGGTATTGCGCCGGTCTGACAAGAGCCAGCACCAGGCCCACCACCTGATCGTCCGCTATAAGATGCCGTCCTTGGTCGAGTTGGTGTCTCATATCTACTAAAATAAAACACACGCATTGAAGTCATTGAATATTGGCAACATTCAGCGGTAACTTACCTTGAAAACCGTCCGGAACCGATGTTGTCAAAACCTCGAATGACATCCCGTCGATCGTCTACGGGCTTCTCGAACACCAGACCCTGTTTCTCGAGCCGCTCGAAGAAGGCCTCCTGACACTCCCGACTAGCAAAATCGACCTGAATACGGCGCCCGCGCAAACTGACGCCGCGAGTCTTGTTGACAGCAGCCTGCGCGTTCATAACCTGGTCGAAGAAGATGAGCGCTTGTCCCTTCTCGCGGTCGATAAAGGTAGGTCCGACGTTGCCGAATGGATCGAATTGCATATTCAGGTACTTTTCGTTGACACTATCACTAACACCATCCACCCACACGCATGCCGTCGGCATGGACTTGCCGAAGCCGAGTTTAATGCGGTTATTGTTCAAGTGCTCGCCGTCCATGGTCCGTATAGCTTTAACAACACTCACAATGTCACTGTACTGGCAGAACGCGTACGAACTGGCCGAACCCTGTTTCTTGATGTCGATCTCGATGATCTCTCCAAATGTATCGAAGTGCTTTCGCAGGTCGGAAGGTGTAACGTCCTTCTCCAGATTGCCGATAAAGAGTGTGCGCGTCGCCTTCGGGTGGTACTCGTCTATTTCAGCCTCATAGGGCCGAAGGTCGTTGTCCTCAACATCATAGCCCTGGTAAGGTGCTACCTCGATCTTGTGACCAAAGAAGAGCTTGTCGTAGCTGACCTCAATGGCCTTGTCGACGTCCTCCGGCTTCTTGAAGCAGACGATTGCATGTCGCTCAGAATTCTGGCCCACCACTTTTACCCACGTCACCTTGCCATGCTTCTTGTATTCATGGAAGAGGCCATCCTTCAACGATGTATCGGAGGAACGCAGCGGCAGATTTCGCACGCAGATTGCTAGCGGGCGACGGTCTTCGGAATGGACGATGGACTGATTGGGCGCACTGGATGGCAGCCGGCGTGACTTTGGCGACCCCGTCGAGCTGGTGCCACGAGACACTGAGCTGGACGATGAGCTGCTGGAGGAGCGCGATCGCGAACGAGAAGGTGAACGCGATGAGGCGCTGCCAGAGGGTGACGGCGTGCGGCTGCCCGACCCAGACTTGGTCTTCTTTTTTGTACTCTGCTCCGAGCGCCGGTCGTTGTTACTACTGGTGTCCGTCGGCGTTGTGCTATACCCTGTATCGTTCGCCTGATTATTGTATCTAGTGTTGTTGCTTTCATACGTCGACCAGCTGTTGTTGGCGGGGCGATGGCGGTCGATGATGGTGTCCAGTTTGTACGGGGGGCCGTTACGAAAACCGCGGTCGCGGTTTCTCCCGCGTCCGTTGTCGTGGTAGCTTGGCGGGCGTCGAATATACTCGCCGTCACCTCCCTGCTGCCGGGAATTGTTCGTTCGATCGTAGAAACACTCGGTGAAGTTGCCATGCTCATCGGACGAACTGCAACAATACAGACTATGTTAAAAGTTGGGTGCCTTGACCCCATTCATACATATACGAAATGGGACCAAATGAATGAAATTCACCCGTAGAAGAGAATTCCGCGCGGCATGCGGCGTCGCGTGCGTTCGAGTAATAACAGCACATCCGCTTTAATATCACGTTGCGCGAATGGAGCGGCGGCGGCAGCACCGGTGGCGGGAGCGGCGTGTACCTCCGCGTTGTAGCCGTAATGCTCCAGTAAAGTTCGCTGTCTCGGTACCGGCTCGCACGCGCCCCGTACATCGATTTTGCATCGAGGAAACAGTTTCGATGTTGTTGTTTACTACAGAATGCGAACCCGGCACTGGAGGAGTGCGTCGAATGAATCAACTTATGGAATTTTCTTTCTTTTCTTAGTTTACCTCCATTGGCCGTCATTGAAAAGTTTAAATATACACAAATAATCCGATGATCGATGGTCAAATATGTTAGCTTTTCGTTTTCAATTATTGGCAAAAATGGCTGCTCCCATTGTGGAGCAATTACGCATGCCAATCACGCACGGAATCGTCGATGTTATTACACTCTTCCGGGAGTTGATCACCCAATAGAAAATAGAGCAAAAAATCGGCTATTTCGTATGTCAACAAATGATATAAAATTGAAGAGGTTTTGTGATATTCTCAAACGCAGATTATTACAAGCATGTTGGCGAATCGAGAGTTAAAATCGTAATATGCTATCACCACCCGGGTTTGGCAATCACAAACAAATACGAGCAATAATAAATAGCCAATTAATTTATGTACTGTATATTATAGTATGTATTAGCGTTTCGTTACCTGTGTCCGTTTGGAAAGCGTGTGCTGGATGGCGACGTCGTCGAATATCCGGCGGCCGCATTCGGCGGCGACGACGAGGACGGAATGGCGGCGGGTTCGTAGTACTCCGTTGTCAGAGTTCTATCGTCCAGTTTGTGGTCGGCGGTGTGTGCCTTGGACGCGCTTTTGATGTCCATGAACGCCACCGTGCACGCCATCTTGCTCGTTTCCTCTTTACCGCCGCTCCTCGGCAACAGCTTAACACTCTGTACGCGTCCATACCTGAAAATGTATAAAAAGCACAAATGTCAGCCGCTGCATTAAATAGTCAGAGATCGAACGGCATTAACAGCCCCATACACACAATTTACTTATAATATTTGAACGGATAAGCAAATAAAAATAGACGAATTAAGGAACTGGCGAGGTGGAGGCTTCAAGGAAAACCGTAACAGCGCTATTTTGAAAGGCGTCGCGAAAACAAAAACAAGCAATAAATATAAAAATAAAGTGCCTATTGCGATTACAATGGACGATGCTGAACGCGGCATCAGAACCAGCAAACGCGTTGAAAACGAACATAAATGCAAGCGAGGGCGAATAAAAATACCCCTGGAACAAAAATAAGACAATAGAGGGATATCAACCCGCAAACGAAAGTCACGTGGGAGGCAAGACGCTGGCGAAAGACGCAGGACTATCCGAACCAAAAGCAGCGTCATTATGAGCAGCCTTCCAGTTGTGCGTAGAAGAACAATAACATAAGCGTGCGCAAGACTACATTTCACGTTTCCTGAATGAGACGATAAATAATCTTTATGGGATCGCGCAAGCGTCCACTTCGAATTCCGTTGTTATCGTAACTTTTGCAGGTAAGCGTGTATAATAACTCGCAATGCACCATCATATCATCTCTGCGCTTTCATGATTATACAGTGTCGCATTGTCACTCTATCTGCATTCGACCAAATACGCATCTCCATCTTACTTACGCAGTCGGTTAAAATGAACCGATGAACGGCTGAGGCGCTCCGTTTACCACTTTTTGATAGCCTACGCATTTAATGACAAGAGTTGTTTCCAGAGGAGAGCATGCTGCAGTTATTCAACGTAAAGTTATTTGCATTAAGAATTAATATTCGCATAGTTTGTCAATCGTCGGAAACGTAGCCAATGCTTTAATGTTCTTTTTTTTGTTTTCAGATGTATCCACAAGTCACCCGCTACAGAAAGGCAAAATGTAAAATCGGTAAAACATGTATAAAATGTAATATACAATTGCAAATTGTAAATCAAAAAGTTTGGTACGAAATAATCATTTGAATGCTTATAACTCAACTACAGATATTAATACTAAAAGGGTTATTATCGAAACTGTATTGACCGAATAGCAAGCAAACAATTTAATTCGTTGTTTGCGAATATGTACTTTGTTTGCCCAATAGAAAACCAATATTTACATTTTATTAGAAGTCGCATAATTCTGAAAAGGTCATTGGATTTTTGGATGATCTTTTAATGTAGCAGTATAATTGTATAAATAAATTACGAATTATGTTACATGTCATAAGTGGTCCCAAAGCTGGGGTAATTACAGCTAAACTTTAAATCATTCTAAGGGGGGACAAATCTTTTTCTTACACACATAAAAACAGCCCATTCTGCATTTCCGTACAGAACAGTACAAATTTATCATTGTTTATTTCAACTAAATTTAAAACTAATCTAATTCAATGAAATAAAATCCAGAGATAAGACCGCATTCGCAAATATTGTAGAATTATATCATCGAAAATATAAATTTTCACATTTTAATGAAGCAGTTCAAAACACTATAAAAAGAATTGAAAATATTATTTCAATGCATTGAATGCATATTAATATTATCCGAGAAATGAAAGGGTAAAATGAAAGAAAATATGACTACATAATAGGAAGCAGCATTTTTCAAACCATATTTGTTTAAGGAAAATTTAGGTATCCAAGTGTAATTATATATAATGCGATCGAACATGGAACAAAATAAATTACTATTGACTCTTTTCAAGAAACGACCTGGCGAAGAGAAAAATAGAAAACTATTATTCAAGTAATACGTATTACTTTCCTTATTGATTGTAATTTGCGTGCGGTCGAATATGAATGTGAGTCGCAATAACCTAATTTTCAAAAAACTCAAATCATATCCATCCTGGAATCTGAGATATACTCGTAACGCATGTTACAATATATGTAGGTATATGTTTCAATATTTTCTATTCTCAATCGCGTACACCCGGAACTATTTTCAATTCAACAACACATAAACTACAGAACAGACGAACAAGAAAATTCGAACCCATGTAAGAAATAATGCAAAACTAATCAAAAATTGAAGGATATAAAAAAAGATGCGCACTATGACAACCAGGGCCTGCATTAGCGCGCTACCCTGTAGATCTTGACAGCCTACGACCCTGTTTCGCTTCCTATCTTCCTTTCATCTTTGTAAACGAGCCGCGATCAAACGCACGCGACCCGTTCATCCGCGGCCCGTTCCATCCAGCTATCTATCCAAGCTAACAGTAACACAGCGCGCGCATGCGAGTGTGTTTCGCAATCAAAGAAACTTTAATATCTTCCTTCGGAGTTAGCGCTGAACTCGGCGCTTTCAGCCGCAGCAAGGCTTGGCGCTCAGGCGGTAATAGTTGCAATGTGAGACGTAGGTGCAAGCGCCGCGGCAAATGTTTTGCGACAAGGAAGAAGAAGCAGCGACGTAGTTCGCAGCTTGCTTCATTTGTGAAAAAGCAGCTAGCGGCGCGTGGCGTGCTCTCGCATCGCCGGGCTGTTGGAGCGGTGTAATTGGCGGTGGCAGTGCAGGCGCGCGCAGCCTGCTTACTCGACCCTTCTCCGCGGCCCAGAGAATGACGCGGGTGGGGGGTGGCCAGGTCATAAGTTGGTTGTCAGCAGCCGCTGCGCCTATTTCCAATGGATCCTCTCCCTGTAACACTTCGCTTCGGGTTCGCACCCAGTCTCGAACAGCACCAAATCAGTTAATTTCCCATTAAACGGCGAGTAAAAAAAACGAAAAATAAATCAGAATTACATTACATTCTCGACGTTCTAATTAAATTTAAAACGCAAACGCATCATTTCCTTTACAGGTTCAGTGTAGTTCGACGGCTAGTGTTCGTTTCTTGTTGTGTATAATACATTTGAACTAGGATTACGTATTAAAACGCAACTATAACTGGGATGCATTTTGAAAAGGTTACATTTTTGTCGGGTTCGGGACCCCTCCACGTTACTCAGGGAATCTGGGATGCTGTACTTTGGGACAGTTGCGCCTTTAATTTCTCTATAATTCTCCTATGAGAAATGGGTGTAGTACTTCTTGCGTGAAGTGCGATATTTTTCCATTGCACCGTCGAATTTAAAAACAGTGTACACCTTTTCGAAATGGATTATAGCCACGAAGTTTGTGAAGTAAGTGATGTATTTTCAAACCAACATAGGCAACGAACAGCATCTTAGATGTGGTTTAAATTATCACGTTAGCAATCCCAGTTCGTTACCTTATTGTTGCCAATTGAGCGATGACGTTAAACTGCGTAGTTTATCGATTTTTGTATGGCATCGGCAGCGTCGACTGTGTTGCGCCCCTCCTAGCGAACCGAACTACAAACAGCGGACTCACGATGCACACAACTGCGATAATGCTCTAAATTTGGATTCACATTCATATGTGTGTATGCTACAACGAATTTGTCGTGTGTGTTGAATACATTATGTACAGATTTTTTTTACTGCGCGTTACTATACAAAGCGCAGCACGCGCCATACAAATTGGAATCCAAACTCCTGAGTGTAGCTCACCCAGAACATGTATTTTTTTTGTGAAGCAGTGACCTAGCCGAGTTTCTTGTCAATAGATTACACGGGGGCTTCTTCCCTGGGTTGGATCCGAATACTTAGGATACTGGTACAATTACGGCTTGCAAAAGCCCATCAGGCACTACGAATTTCCGCAATGCATAAAACGCTCCAAAGTGTAAGGCAAGGTCTGTATTATAACTGAAATGATATATCCCTCTGGCCGAAGTACGGAGGGCAAATGAACCGGAATGTCGGTCGAGTTGCGTTATTCTGCCGAAAATGCGGCCCAGGGTTGCACCTTTTACCATGGATGGCGCATTACGGTCCACTCAACCGAGCGACTGACTCTAGGTCTTTGTTCCTCTGCAGTGCAGACGGTAAGATACGCTGCTGGTTGCCGCGGTCACATCGCATCCTCAGCCGAGCAACCCACGCGGCAGCCCGACAGGCCCAAGGCACAACTTGGCCGCCAGGCCAACTCCAACTCGGCTGCGACTCTCGTCGCCGTGCGGCGTTGCCACGCCGACACGGCCGCGTGCTCAAAGCGGCGTACGGCATAATATACGCACGCGGAACGGTAATAAACCGACCGAGATGGAGAAGGGCTGCACGAGAGTCGCAGCGCGGTGCGGCGCGACAAGCGGGGTCGACTACGGCTTTCTATTCCGACGTTGCGCGGCGTACACATCGACGCAGTGGACCAATGCGATGAGTCGCTACCGCGAACGATGGAAACAATGCCGCCGCGTTATGGTCCGATGGCAACAGTAGACCGGGCGATCAAACGACGCGTCCATTCGGCAAGATACAAAAAAACACCATGGTACCAAACTGTTTTTCTACGCGCACACTCTACGCCAGTGTTTTTTATGCTATTACATCGCGCCTCTGAGGGAGCCACGAGGAGCGTACGATTGAAGCGTTCCACGTTGTTAGCAACCGTGTAAATAAAAACTTCCAACGATGCATTGCAGCATTAAAACAAAATTGGTCGACTGCAAGCATGGTAGGACACTTGGACATAATCATTATTGTAAAAAGGTACATGAACATGACGGCAACATGATCGATATTTTTACCATTAGGTGCTATTCGCAAACACGTCAGCCGACCTAATGCACATGTAAATAAATAACAATGGAGTTGTTCATCACGGACTCAAAAAATCTTTGATTTCCGCCCCGCAATATTTTTCTTAAACAAAACTTCATCAATGCGTGTTTTATTCCGTATCTGTATGTATATTCATGACGTGCCACATGTTTCGTGTATTATTTGCTCCACTCTGAACAAATATTTATTTCTTCAATGACCTTAGTGACGTAAATAAAATCGTATGCGCGATAAACATATACAGGGCTCTTAACTCGCAACGTTCAAACGAAATGGCGAGTAGCGTTTACATAATGCCATTTTTAAATAAAAATAAAAATGATACGAGAATAAGCAAAGGCGCTTATGCACACTGCTCGTTTTAAATAGACGCGAACTTTGAGTTGAATTGAACATAGCATACCAGCGAGCCAATTTCGATTTCAATGTAAGCACATACTTACAAATCGCCCGAAATGTGAATTTATTATAGATCCTAGTCAACCCGACGCATCTAAACATGCCCACTTGTTATTTAAAAAATCTGAAACATTCTAGGATCCAAACTACGACAATGTGTAAGTTGTTTCGGTCAAAACAACTTCAATATAACCAACAAAACTAATATGCTTAAATTGAACACAGCGTCTTATTGTGGATTATGCTGTGACGTAATGTGTTTTTTTTGTTTGCTTAATTTATGTGCTTTCATGCAAATGTTTGGTTTTCGAATTGATTTTCGAAAGAATGAGAGACCGTGGTGTTCAGCGGATGCCGAATGTCTTGGTCGTTGTTTTCCTTTTATTAATAGCGCGTGCAGACAGCGCACAATCAACACCACAAATGCCACATTGAAGTTTTCCGCGCAAAGTGCGCCCGAACACGTCACGTTGCCGGGTGAACATATGATATCGAGCCTACGTCTCAGTTCGTACGCTCACACACATCCAGGTATTACATATGAATAAATGCAAAATTCGCATGAAAAAAATTCGTTATCGTGGCATAATATGTTTATAAATGGAAGTCACGTACGCGGCCCACAGTCGGTGTTTGTATACATACATGTGTGTGTGTGTACGTGTTGGCGGAATGGTGGTTGTGGCGAGCCAACGTTCGCTGGTCGGCTAGTAGCGATGAGTCAGCAGCCATTTTATACTCGACGCATACAAAAACAAGCGACCCGACCGACAATACAACGTCGGCACGACGCGCGACGGTCGGTTCATACAGAAAATTCAAGCGCTCGCGCTCTTGAAATGAGCCAGCCACGATGCGGCGTAGTAAAAGGATGGTCTTGAAAAATAAAATCAAAATGCAACACCACCACAACGAATACTGGCTTTAAATAGAGGGAGGACTTGGTCCTGTCTTCTAGTTGATTGTTGAATTGGGAATTAACGCACCTCTGCCCGGTCGAAGGCAAAAAATCACCGCCGGGCGTACAAATAGGGCTTGCCGACGTTTTGTGTCCGCGAGCGGGTCGATCTCGTCCGGGCGGCCCGGCTTGGCAACCGGTTGCCATGATAACGTCGAACAATTGCAACCAAAGTCGAGGCCGGCCATTTTGTTGGCTGCGCCCGCGTGCACTTGCATTGCACCCATGTCTGTGGAGACTTCGTGCTGACCGCTAATAACAAGCCGAAATGCATTGGCCGTCAATCGGGAGCCGTGCGCGCCACAGGGTCTGTTTGGCGTATTCCCCCGTGTGCTTACGACGTGCGCGCTGCTCCCGCTTGCAATCACAAGTTCGTCCATCCTCATATTATAGATTACTCGCAGCCACGCATGACGTCTGCTGTTTCGCATCGACGTTACGATCATTCTTTCTGCGCAATTGTAAATATTCTTCTAGGCGTATTGCATCAACAAGCCAATAATCCCGAGAAGCTAACATTTCCGTATTTTGTTGGTGAAGGCGAACTTGACGGGCGACAAGAAGTCATGAATAGTATTATCGCAGCACTGAGCTAGTCAGCCAGTCGAGTGTTGAAGATTTTACCTCAGTCGTCTGTACCACTCAGCCTCCGCGGGGTCCAGCGCGGCCACCAGCTCGCACGGAATTTCGAGAGCAGGTTCATTCCTTTTTCACCGCATCCCACCTTAGTGCATCTGTTACTGATTCCTACTTGTCGCTCAGAAGCTTTAAACTGATCGACGACCAATACACATTTCATCCCTGTATATAGTTAGAATTATTTAAAACTGAGAAGGTCTCATCATGAGATTGAAAATAGAAATCTTGTCAAATAATAACATTGCTATGATCTGCCTACCGCCGCTCGCTTCAACACAACGCTCTGTTTGCTTCCTTATTATACTGCAGCGGAAAGAAAAAACAAACAGCACGAAGAATCGAGCAGCCAGCGTATGAAAAGCACTCGTATCTGCTACGTGCGGTTACACACCGCAACACAGAAAAACTATAAGAAGACACGACTAACAACAATTCATAATGAAAACAGCGCTAACTTCACGTCAGCCAGAAGCGACTGCAATGAAAAATAGAACGTATAGGAAAAAACGCGGCGATATGGTTGATGGTCGATGGCGTAACAATGGGTGCTCACCAAGAAGCAAGCAGAAGCAGCGAGTGAACGCACGCAAAAACGGATGAAACAATATCAGATGAAATTAAATCTGAACGCAGATCTTGAAGATATAAAGCAGAAAAATGATTAGTATAAAAACACGAGGAATTGGTCTGAGGCAGTAGAAAGAAAACTTCTTTCCACACGGTCGATTGCGGTGGGTTTATTTACTGGTATTGGCGCTTTAGTTTTAGCTATAAAACAAATATAAAGCTGATTTAATTCGTGTCCCCGCCGATCTTCAGACATTTTGCCCTTACTTTTTGACCCAAACTACAGTTTACTACTTTCTGCATTTATAGACTGATGGTACGGCACAAGAGAGAACCCAACGTGATCAAGGCGGCCAGTTATCCTAATTTAATGATGCCTCACGTTATTTCATTGATTTGTATTATTGTAACAAGTCAATTTATTATTGTTCCACTAATTCGTACACATACAGTTACGCAACAATGAGCATGCTAACCGGCGGCATTCGACGACGAACAACATTCCACTTCGGTAGTGCAAAAACGAAAACATTGTCATTACTACACGTAACATCTTCGACAGGCAGTCAAGAGTCATCTGCTTTGTATTAACAAACACAAGCCTAAGCAGGAAACGTAATCTCAAAACTCATTGGGCAGGTGGCTGATCTGCAACTTATTTCGGAATGTGTACGCGTCAACCCGTCATTTGTGGATGTATAGAATTCAAATCAGTAGTTGAGACTAACTTCGAACGAAGAAAAGTATTGAGAAAAACAGTTTCTTGGCTATTGACCCTGTTCAGCTTAAGAAACTGCAAACAGCAGGAATAGTAGCCAGATTGAGAAGCTGCTGCAAATGCTAGTACGCCGACAGTTCGAGGGCAAGTGGATCTCGACCTGGCAAGTCGGGTGGAATCGGCCGGAGTCGTCCACCGACGAAAAGGCCCCCACCAACGAGCGCCCGTGTATTTTGGTAAACACGAAGCCGAGGTGAACGCGGCACGAACCGGTCGCGGTGAATCCGCTGGAGGCTTGCCGGTGCGGACTCGAATGCGGCGCTGGCCGGGCTGCCGCGACAGCAGCAACAGCCGCGCATGGAACGAAAACGTGGTGGAGGACCGGCGAGCGCACCGAGCCAGCGACGCAAAAACCATAGATTTAGGTTCATGCGGGTGGGTGATCGATAACTCCGACGTTGCCGTTTTCGTCCACTGCATGCTCGCTCGCATTGCGACCGTGTATAAAGTTTGGGTAGACGCGGGGCAATCG